TTGGCTTAAACAGCAAAAGTTATCAAAACTTCATAAAGCAGTACATATATTCATCCTTACTTTCCGACCATTTTCCTATGCGGGGAACATGTAAAATTGTAAACTTTTCTTGGCTATTGTTTTCAACTCTTGTGATTTGTCAACATCTTTTGACACAAAAAAACACCCTTTCAAAGTGGAGTGTAAATGCATTTTATTGCGTAAACGGACTTCATGTAGGTTTATGCGTTCTCTGTGTAAAAATGAGAACATTCCTATGTGGGGAAAGCACCGTTGCCGCATAAGAAAAGAAATTGCTATCCACCTTACCCGGATCATTACTTAAACATACCATTCAGGCCATCATCTTTTGTTCCAGAGAAAGAATTACACGCGCGTGTTCACGCATGCCGTGGACTCAAGGAGTTGCCTGATGGGATGATGGGATTTGTTGTCATAGTTACAAGAGCTAGAAACTGGCGAATTTTGCGCTTTTCTTTTACAGTTTCGCGGTCTGCAGTTCCATAGATTAGTCTTGCCCTTCTTAACGCACTAGATAGCATATGCGTGAATTCAAAAGATATCCAAGTAATTTAAGGCGGCATAAAAAGACAAACGATTATGCATTTTTTGAAATCTCGGTACCTTTTGGCAGGTGATATTTAAACAACCTTTAACATGTTAATGTCGCACGTGCTGTTGTATTCGTAGAAAAGAAGGCAGACGCTTCTATTTATGCAGTTAACACTCAGTGCACGTGTCTCTTCAAACTTAATTGACGAAAAATTTTAAAAAAGAAGAAAAATTGCTTTTACCGCACTCCGAAGAAGCAAATTTAGCTCCCCACCACACCAGAAGAAAAGTGAAAGTCAATCTAGTCATGTTAAAAATTAATTAAATTTGTTATTTTTTTTGTTTCAGGAAAATTGCGGAGGACCCGAGGCGGGATTGTGGCACTTTTCATAACGGAGAGGTGGCAAATTCTGCGGCAATTCAGTACTGGAGTGCGCTCTTCACTCGTAACTGTAACTTTTCATACAAATTGAGGAAGAAAACATTACATTTCCTTGTTTCGGATTTGTTCTATGTTTGTTTATTAGTTTTTTTGCAAGAAGATTGTAAGCCAGTCAAGATAAAACGTCGTACCGTTCCACCTTAGCCTTTGTCTCTTTACATTGTAACGTAATTTGAAAACAACCCAACGTTTCTTCAGAGAAAAAATTCAAATAAATAACCATGCTTTGGTATTTATATTAGAAATTGTTCCATACCGCCAGCTGCAGTATTTATCAAAATTGTACCCACCTCAAACTAAGTAAGTAAAGCCCTTGAAATACACCTCCACGAAACAGGAGCCCGCAACATTGGAACAGTAGAATGTGACCTTGCCTTTATTGACCAGAATCCTTAAATACTTTTCTAGGGGTGAATTCATTCCAGCATACGCGTATGGCTGTCACATATGCCTGTTGGAATTTTGTTTTTGAGCTTGGTAACAACAACACAAAAATTCCAGTGGGTGAATGTGACGGCTTTTTTAGTGTGTTAGTATGACGTTTTGTTCGCCGTGTTGGTTTCCCAAACCAGTTCTGGAGAGTTGAGCCTTTTTCTTATACAAAAATATTTTATTGCAGTACTGGATCCAGACATTGAGATAAGGGGGATCCCCGATCATTACATTTACATGTTTTTTTTTTTTATTTAGAGGCTTCCACAATAAATAGTATATCAACTATTTCCAAATAACTAAAATTACACACATCAAAAATTCCTAACCATATAGTGTTTTCACTCACGTGGCCAGAATCTATGCAAATTTGTTGGAACAAAAGAAAGAGTTTGCATAAGAAAAGAGTTCAACTCCCAGAGAATTGGTTTGGGACACCGACACCAACATGGCAGCCGTTTCATTGTTTTGGGATACCAATATGGCCGACGTGACGTCATGTGAAAGGCACTCTATATGGCTAATAAGTTATTAATTAAGTCCTAGAGTATTTACTTCTTGCCGTCTTCCTCTTTCTTTTTTCAAAGCATTCCAATACAAGTTTTGCTATTACTTTTTGTATTTTAGCATTTCCGCTAGGGGGTTTATTAGAAACATGAATGTTTTGTTTGGTGACATTCTGCTTATTTTTATTCCAGACCGTGAGATAAGGGGGGTGGTGTTGCGCCCGCCCCCCCCCCCTCAAAAAAAATTTTTTGGTCCCTCCAGGGCTTTGGGCCTCAGTTTGGTCTAAAAATTAGAGGGGGTTCCGGGCCCCACCCTTGAATCCAGCACTGTCTTGTTTAAATAAGCTGCTGGACATGTATCGCCTCCCCCTCTCCCCAATCACTCCCAATGGTAAAATACTGAGGGAATGTAGGGTGAATTAAGTGAGGAGCGCACCTGGTGAGCACAATTAATATACAATATGTACACCTCAAAGTGTTCATTGAATAAACCCGGTTTCAAGAGTTTTCCTATCTACATTTGCACTTTACAAGTCACGAGTTGGTAGAGGTCGTGTTCACCCGCCGGCCGAAATTTTGCTCAGTTTCTCTTGGGGCGATTGTAATATCCAGGGGAACTTGAACAAACAATTACGGTGTATTATTAATTGTAGCAAAGAGGTAGAGATAGATGGCCGCGCGGAGATACGAAATTTCTCTTCGAGTGTTGAAAAATATTTCACCAGTGAGCGCAGCGAACGAGTGTAATAACGCTGCCCTCACTCTTGAAATAATTTTCAACCCTCGAAGAGTAATTTCGTGTCTCCGCGCGGCCATGTAACTCTTTGCTGCACTTCATGACGTCTCCTTGGTTTGTGCTCGGTATCGTTAGCGGGCCTATATCGAAGAGCTGGTTAAAATTCAGAATAAACAGGGAAGAAAAAAAAACAGGTACCGGTATAGGATAGTAAGTGTTACTCGTTACTTATACATGTAGAGTGTTTTCACATGACGTCACGATGGCCATGTTGGTGTCCCAAACAAGTCCTGTGGGAGTTGAACTCTTTTCTTACGTAAACGCTTTTTTTTTTGTTCCAGTAAATTTGCATTGATGCTGGCCACGTGAGTGAAAACGCTCTTAGGGACTTTCGAGATACGGACCCCTACCCACCTTTAAAGGAATGGACATAATTTAGGGCCTGTTTTCATGGAGGTGGGGGACCCCAGGAAGGTGAGGTAACCCGCTTAGGTGGGGTAACCAGCCTGCCCATATAATTTCACATTTTAATGTGATCACGTTTACAGGTTAGGTGGGGTAACCCGCAACATGTTACCACACCTACCTGGGGTCCCCCACCTTCATGTCAACAGGCCCTAAGACAGACGCTTGGAGTAACTTGGAAATGATCTATTCAATTGTTGGAAAAAATACAAAGACTTGAGGGTGAAGTCAACTTTGTTTATTTTCCAGTCTGGCGCAAATTTTGTTTTAACCCTTTGTACACCCGAGCAGAGATAAGCATCTGCTTCTACCAACATTTTTACATAAAGCAGGTTCACCCTCGGTGTAAAAAACTATGAAACTCATAAGTGACGTAAATCAATGAATACAGAGAAGCCACTGAGAGGTCAACAGAATAGATCCAAGGAAAGTAATAGCAAGAAAACAAAGAAAAAGTTCACAGGTTCTTACACCGAGGAAGCCCATAAAGCAAGTCACGAGAACAAGGGAAACGTGATAACAAGAGTCTTGATTGACAGACATATTCTCCTAGTCAGTGCCGTAAGATATAACTGGAGAAAGGTGTTGGGAATCTACATGCTGATTTTAGGGATTACGTATAGAGGTTTCACATCACTCACATCTTTAAAACTCCTTGAATGGAAATGAATACAGTTCAGCTCTACATAAATACTAGTGAAGAGAAGTTTACTGAACCAGGCCATTTAAGAAAAAACATGCATGACGATAATAAAGTCGAAGTATAAGTAATTTTCAAATAATTTCACTAAGTAAGATCTAAAAATGTAAGTAAAAGCGGTGAAAAATGAACGGCTTTGCGAATAAATATTTGTTTTTAAAAATCTGTTTGTACGAAAAATTGTCAGCGGGGAAAGGGAATAGAACAATTGCACGATGACGTCATTTTACTACAACTACCAAAATCCTTCAGTTTGTTGTTTTCTTGTGCAAATTAAGGCTATTGTTCCTTAATCCTCAGCGGGATTGACAAATTTAACTAAGAAAACAAAAGCGAAATGAATTCTGGTAGTTGTAGTCAAATGTCGTCATCGTGAAAATGACCTATAAAGCGTAGCGACGAAATGGAAGCGATTGAGTAAACAAAAAGATACTTCCTTGTTTGTTTTCCTACCTCTCGGGAAAAGCGGAAGAGGATTGTGGTACATACCGCGTGTATAAGAAATTCCGGTGGGTATTTCCATAACTTACTTTAGGGAGGGAGGAGGGGGGGGGGGGCTCTCCACCCCCGGATAAAACTGAAAAAAATTTTTTCCCGGGTTTGAAAACAATAAACCCCCATTAAAATTCGATTTGAATTAAACTTACCCCAGCCAAACTGAAATACACGCCCCCAAACTAAGGGCTTTTTTAAATGGAGGTGGGAGACCCCAGGTAGTTTCTCAGCAACAATAAAGACTAAACAGTATACTTGTTTTTTTTACTAAAAAAAAAAGGGCGAATCAGCGTGGGATATGGTACTGGTGTGCAGAAGTGTCTCCTCCCGAAAGGAAATCCGGGGTGTTATTACAACAAACATCTTTGGGGGGGGGGGGGGGGGGGGGGGGGCTCTCCACACCCGGATAAAACTGAAAAATATTTTTTCCTGGATTTGAAACCATATATCCCCATTTAAATGTCGATTTGATTTAAGCTTACGCAGTCACAACTGAAATCTCGACCTCCAATCTAAGGGCTTGTTTACATGGAGGTGGAGGACCCTAGGTAGTTGAGGTAACCCGCTCAGGTGGGGTAACCCGTCTCTCATTTAAAATTTGATCACCTTTACATGATAGGTGGGGTGACCCGCCACATGTTACCTCACCTACCTGGGGTCCCCCACCTCTACCACTATGTAAAGAGCCCCTAAATGTCTCCAGCGCCGCATTTGGCGGGATACTGAATAAAGATATCGTAAAGCTTGCAAAGGCACATGCTAAGGCGCGATTTCTTCTTCGGAAGTGTAAGGCACAATGCATAGCCAGCGTTCGGTGTTAATGTGAGACGTATGCTCTGCGCATGTTCAGCGTAATAATTATCAGCCATCAGCGACAGGAAGGTTCCTTTGGACAGCTGCTTACTCAGCCTTTTTCATTTTGAATCTGGAAAAATGAAGCCTGTTGACGAAAAAAAAAGAAAAACATCAAATAAGGCCATGTATAAGTGGTTTAAAGGCAAAAGGTCGCTTGACCTTAAATCCTTCGCGTATGAGCAGTCACTCGGAAGTCGCATTGTATGCGTTGGTTTCCACGCTGACATATGTCACCTGACCCGGTTTCTTGAGAGAAGGATAACTTTTACCCAGGGTATAGAGCTTTTCCACATGGCGTCACGTCCGCCATGTTGTAAAGGGCGGCCATTTTGGTGTCTTAAACAAGTCCTGTGGGAGTTAAACTCTCACTATGTAACCGCTTTCTTTTGTAGCAATAAACTTGCATAGCTGATGGCATCGCGAGTGGTGACCAGCAGCACATAATTTTTTACAAAAGAACAAGGTACAACTACCATGAGACTGGACACCAACATGGCCGCCGTTTCATTGTTTCATGACACCAATCAGGTGGGCCGACGTGACGTCATGTGAAAACGCTCCATGATTAGACGCTGATATTTACCTTGAGGGTTGTAAACATGTGACCCTGCTCTCCAATTTGCATGTGACTGTCAACCATGTCATCAATAAAGTGAATCTCTGATCCCAGGTGAGGAATCCTGTAGGACAAACAAATAATCATCTGTATTGTGATTCCTGGAATAAGCGTTCTTAAGTTTATCTTAACTTCGGCCAAAAGAGAGGAAGAGGTGATTAGTAACTGCTTTTTTTCCTCAGGTTCGGCGAAAAGGCCACTTTCCATTTTATACAAATATAACTTGTTTCTGGGGCCCGAAACTCAATGGTATTTCCTTTTTTATCCTCCTCGCCCATCGTAAGGTTACTCAGTCCGATTCCAGAATGCGGGAAATCTTTGCTTTTGCAATCCGCAATCCAGCTCAAGGAATTAACAATTCGACTGGAATCCGGAATTCCCAGCGTGGAATTCCGAGTCCAAGACCGTCTTAAATTACACTACATGAGGCGACTAGCTCCTCAGTCTGGGAGCCAACTATAAATTTTTTTAGATCAATTTAGATTTCTGGGGAACTGCCCACCTATCCCTCCCTTACGCTAACATTAACACTTACTTCTCACTTAGGGCAAAATAATGGCTTATGATCCAATTTTTTTATTATTCAAAACTTGCATATTGATTCTTGACTTGGCCAAACAAGGTACGAGAAAGAACTTCTCTTGAAATTGTGAGGGGTGATTTATTCTAGTTTGGTCAAGCGGTAGGGGTGGTTATCTCGGAGGGGTGGTGTGGTACAAGACATCAATTCGCCACTTTGAGGTTGAGCGGAAGAACAGGTCGAGATTTTTGTCAAAGTGCATTGTGGGACTGTTTTGGGGCACGCATTTTCAACATACGTCACCATGAAGCACTTTTTAGGTATGATGTTTCCTATCGCTTAAGTTTGTAATTTGCTTTGCAGTGTAAATGACTACATTCATCTCAAACAAACTGCCTAGTCCCTAGCAAACATCATTGCGCGCGGCCATTGCGTTTCGAATTTTTGGCCGTTTGTCACGGATCGTCACCGATATGCATTGACCGAGAAGGCTTCAGGAGACGCTGCATAAGGGCTAAGCAGAGCTAAGCAAACAAAGAGATCGGACGTTTTTAGTATCAAGTGGGCCAAAATTTTGATTAATCACAGGACCAGTCAAAACAATACTGTTTAAACCTTTTTCCTTATACCTTGCTCTGATGACCACAAACTGAAAAACCGGAAATAAATCATCAAGAGAGACTAGCTTCTTCTCGCCTTGCCAAAATGACGTCACTTCCTGAAAGAAGAGGCAAGGCAAACAAAATTACAATTTGGAAAAATAATCGGTAAGACATGTTTGGAGGAAAAAAAACTCTAGTTTCTTTAAAACGACTTACTTCATTTATTTTTTCAAAGGTAGTCTTAAGAACTCCGAGTTTTTCCATGGGGCTGAACTTTGTACTGTAAAATAAAAAGAGAAGTTATCAGTATCTGTGGTAATAGACACAGAATGTCTTACCCTAACAACAAGCTACAGCAGTTATGTAACTATCTCCGATGCCAAATACCTTATTTGTTGCAAAGATTCCACAGCACTGATATAATGCTCAGGTTCTCTGTTTTCCAATTTCACCTACAATTAATCAAAACGACATGACATGGTAAGTCTACATCCGCTGGATCTGACGTAAAAGCAGAGCACAGGAATCAAGCATTTTATACATTTGTACCTCTTCCAACCGACTTCCAATGTCTTCTTCTCTTGTCAGCCAGAAATGCCTGGGGAAGACAAATTAGAGTTTATGAGCCTTTTTTTCTGCGTTGTCAAGGGATCAGTCACGAGACTGGTCTTAAGCTACTTAAATTTATCAGAACAAAAGAACGTTTTTACATGAGAAAGGAGTTCAATTCCCAAAGGAATTTTTTGTTACCAAATATGGCCGCTGTGACGTCATGTAAAAAAACCAATCTATATCAAAAGACATCAGAGTTGACACTCGACTCTCTGACGTCATAGATTTTGCGATGCTGCTAGCTCAGACTTTTGGCGGGAAATAAACCTTACTATGTCATATGACATGAACGAAATTCAGCAGTACAACAATATGAATACGCTATCCTACCTTTTCATACCAACATACGTCATTAGTGCCCAGTCCGATCGCTTGTTTAACAGCTGGATTTGTTCCCAGTACGCGCTGTCTGCTCGTTCGTTGTCCAGGGCATACAGAGTAAAAAGAGGCGGGTAGAGCCTGGGGAAGAGTAATGGGTGCAGTAGCATGCTGCTCGTCAAGCTCTCTTCTGTGCTGTGATTGGCTATTCCTGTTACTGTGTCTGTAGCCAGATGAACGTACTCTTCATTGGGAAGTTCCGGGAAAAAGAGACTGAAAAAATAATCAAAGAAAGTGCAACAATCAAATGTGCCAACAACAATACCAACAGTAAAGGTGGCAATGACATCTTAAAACGTTGGACCAACATTTACGCCAGCTGTAAGACTCTAGTATAGTAACAATATTGTACATTGTTTTTCAACGATAGAGAATCCACAGTCCTAACATCTAGTAAGTCACTAAGGAATTTTTTTCTTTTTGTCTGAAGTTAAAACAAAGAAGTTTATTATAAGTTAAAATAGGGAACGTAAAGTTCCAACAAAACACCTCTCGGTTTCCTCGCTAAATGGCGTCAAAGCAGTGAGCGCAAACTCTATACTGATGACGTATTGCTAGCCAGATCTAAGTAGTGCTTCTGATTTGTCGGGCCGCCAGGGAAATTTGCTTCAACCAATCAAAAGCACTACCCACATCTGGGTATTGACACGTCATAAGTATGGAGTTTGCGCACGCTTGCTCAGACGTCATTTCGCGGGAAACCAATGGCGGCGTGGCGAAATGTCGGCTGTTTTCTAAGGATCAATCATACCGCACAATGCTGTAAACTCTGATAACAAAGGACTTGGTTTCTGCCACTGCATGAGGTAACAGTCTTCTGTGTGTCCCCATTCCAACATAACTGGCTCGAAATACATCAACCAATCTGTTTACAAGGCGCCCCAGAGGATGACGTTTCAAATCAAATGCCTGGAAAAAATGAAACAAGTTATTTGCTAGTATACAACGTCATTTCATTATAGCATTCCCTCTTCCCCTATTTACCAAAAGTTGAATTGGTATTGGAATGAAATAAAAATAACGTATTTCCTTATTAAACCCTTGATCATAAGCCTTACGTCTTAGGTTAACAGTTACATACGCCCTTATTCCGCAAAAAACAGTCAACTCCCTTTAAAGCGGACACTATAGGGACCTCGAGTTAGTGTCCTCGTTAGCGAGAGTCCGTAATAGCTGGGGTTTATTTCAGTCAGAAACATGACATAGTAACGAACTGTAAAGTGGGAGGACAAACAATAACACTGATAAAGACAGCTGCTGATATTCACATTGATAAAAGTGTTTCATTTTGATTTCTCAATATTACAAGCCCATCAGGTTTTGCACCCCCCTTCCCACTACCACTTACTACCCACCACCCTCCCCCTCCAAATCGAACGCACTCCCCTAATTTGCAATCATTACTAGTTTATTATTGCCCGGGATTTCGCTGGTGTCCGCAAGGTGACAGTTGACTATACTCCTGCACTAAACCCGTTACGGCTGCACAGGTTTCATTGCAACAATTTCACAGTATTTTCATGACGCAAGACAGAGAGCTTAGCCTAATTTTACAAAACATTAAGCAGGCGAAGAAGTACCGAATCCATCGAGTAATGAGACATTTCTGATGTAAAAGAGTTTTTAATAGTAAAGCCACCTCACTAACCTTCGAGAGATAAGCTTGAACGGTTTGCAGGTCATCACAGACTTTAGCAGTTTGCTCCATGTCATCATTGATCTTAATCAACTCTTGCGTTATTTCGAAATCATTGCGTGACACTTTAGAGTCACGCCCAGTTGTCAAAGCAATCGATACACATTTCCACACAATCCAATGTTCTGCGTCACGATCACCGTGACATCCGAGGGACTGACGACACTCTGAAAACAGAGACACCCATTTCTTCTCGGGTGGAATCGCATACTTGCTGTCCGCCGCGACGGTTCTATGATTAAAGAGAAAAGTCAGAATTGTACTACAACAGTGCGTCGTACGCACTTTTTATAACAAAAGCTTTACAAGAATGACCTGAGGTAGCATGAGCAAAGGGGAGGCGTGGGGGGTGGGGTACTTTTCCCCACCCTCCCCCACTCCCTCTGCGACGGACACCTTTGGGATTAGGACTATGTGTCCAGAACTGACCGGCCAGACCATTCCTGTCGAAAAACTCTGATCTCCAGTCAAATCCTAAAATAATAGCATACACGAAGGAGATGGTTTTTCAGCAAAAACTCTTGGAAAAGCCTACGTCATTTTCAAACTCATTAACTGACTGGTCGAGCAATAATGCGGCCGGCCAGTTCTGACAAATGGAAAGCGCCCCCAGACAGATGTCCGGGTTATTGAGATAGATTAAAAGGAGTAAAAGAATGCAAGGACTAACTCTAGGTGTTCGTTTTAGCAACGTGTCCGTTAAGACAGAAATGACTGTACTAACAATGCAGAAGTAGTCTTTGTCCAATGTTGGGGACCTTAATCACTTTGTGTGAACACGTGGTCAACCTTGGATATCTGATAATAGTAATATATCCAAGCCAAGTATGCCGGCCTAACCATAAACCGACTTCCACATTCAGCGTAAAGAACGTGCGAATTGAATGTTCATATTGGTTTATATGGACGTTGGAAGTTAAACAGACACATTTCGACTGTACCTTTTCACTCTTATATATGGTAAAAGCGTCTCCTGTCTTTGGAATTGTCATTGATCTTAGTTTAAGTCATGTTAAGTAACGGTGCATTGTACCTTAATGATTTGCTGGTTGTGCCTGTTGTTTCCAGTTTATGAAATGTACCGTTTATACGAATCCCCTCGCCCCACTGACCAGTAAATGTACCTTCTATGAAGTCACCATTCGGCATGGTTAGAGTACCCTGAAAACAAACCAAACCAAGAGATCAAAAGCGTGCTACATCTTTACTAGGAGTTTGGTTCAAGCTACGATGAAGGCCTTCTTCTTCCATCTCTTTCCATTAACTACAGGTGCTTTTTTCAGCCTCAAAACTAGCCTACCAGTTTAAGAATTCGTCGCATTACACTCAGACTGTGGTGGTACTTTGAACATAAAATGAAAGACTTCATGGTAATCCATATTTGACTTTTGGCCACGAAAAATAGAAGGGGGTAGTTTACAATGGCAATAATGAGATGATGATGATGATGGTGGCACTGTTGACGATCAAAATGATGGTGATTACGTTTTAAAGAGGAGGAGGATGATAGTGACGACGACGACGATGATAATCATTTATGATGACGCTGTTGAAGATAAAAATGATGGTGATGATGTTCTAAGGAGAAGGAGGAGGAGGAGGAGGAGAATTTAATACAAGGGAATAAAAATATTAATTTTTTGCAAACGAGTGTAAACACTCGACCATGAAATCATAAATTACTACCTTGCCAGACAACAGACACTCTCCAACAAATTCTCCTTCATACTTGGTGTTATCGTCGCAAAGCAGAATGCCATTACCCTGTTTAATGAACAAAAGACCGACAGTTACCGGCCTTAGATAGCGAACTGATGTACTTTGGGACGACTAACTACTGTACACTTAATATAATGTGACACGATCCTGAATACTGCTATGATAAGAAATGCAAAAACTACCGTGTTAGCTTGCAAATTAAGAATATTACCTAATTTTTTATAATAGAACATGAGTTGATAAAAAGTAAGTGTTTGCCTTATCATGTTGTTTAACCTTCCGAGGTTAATGTGCCAATTATTTCTAATACACGAGAGTAGAATCCGGTCATATCCGACACCAAATACGATTTCTGATATGGAACTGAACCACACACGTGCGGCTCAAGTATCCTCTCAATTTTTTGTGTTCCAGACACCGATCATTAAAACAACAGTTCGGTATATAATCTCTACCATGTACTTAGGTAGAATAAATACATACCATGAGTTTGTTTTGCAAGAAGTTTCCTTGATTATAAATACCATCAAGTGTAACAAGCAGCCCAGGACCATGGCGAGAATCTGACTCCCACATACCCATGTACTTTTCACCCCTGAAAAAAAAAAACCGAATAGAAACTCTATAAAACGACCATTCAGGAACGAAAATCTAAAAATCAAAGGCAATTGCTCACAAAATCGCATAGAGGACTGCAGATAATAAATTGGAACTTTTTATCATATGCAAGTAATGGGGTCCATCTATTAATTGTTGTGAGCAATGTGGACTAACAACACCAGGGCAGGACACTTAAAGTAGGCGGGAATCTGGCTACGGGTTGATTTCCACTGTCGCGTAATTATTTCCGTACGTAAATGAAATAGAGGCAATGTATGAAAGGCCACGCGCACACGTAAAAGTTGATCGAGGTTCAACTTTTACGTGTACGCGTGACCTTCCGCGGAAGATTCACATGTGTATGCACGAAAATTTTACGCGACAGTGGAAAGTCAACTTAACGCAGGGACTTCCTTAAGATCAGAGGGTCGCGTGGGGTGGGGGTGGGGGAAATTGAGAAGTGGGTATATTAAACAGAGAGATGAATCAAATAGCACGTTGAAACCTATGGAGTAAATTAGAAGAGGGCTTTTGCAAGAAGGGAACACATCTGACTGGGCAGTTTAAAACGGGGTGATCCGGGGAACGGGCTTATACAAGGCTAATGGAGGAAAAAATTGGCCGTAAGTGAAACGTAGTTAAACCATTACTTGAGGATGTCATCCAACACTCCATATCCTGATCTCTTGTCATTGGACCATTCTCCAATATACATTGTTGCTCCAGTGGAGGACAGGGAACCGCTCTTCATACATCCATGACCCCAACGCAGATCGTCACGCCAGTATCCTTTATACACGTCACCATTGCAAAACCTGCAATACAAAACACCGAAGGTGAGTCACTTGTAACGCAATACTCTTATCCTGCAAAACTGCAGTGCAACATCCATGCAACTCTGCAAAACCTTGATAATAAGTCACTGAAAAAGACCTATTTCACACTCCCGACCATGGCTGTTCAAACATTGGATAGCGTTATCCACTGAATAATTCTTTATCCAGCGGATACGTGTTAGGAAACACAAATCTTCGAGCAGAATGGCTATTGTTCTCGGGTCATTGTACTTACAGACGAGCTAGAAGCATAGGTCTGTAATATTACAGGTGAAGCGTGAACTGAATCACTCTCATTGGTCGAAGTCTACGATAAAGATAATGAGATTTATCCACTTAATAGCGTTATCCATCTTTTGAGCAACTGGGCCCTGATTGTAGACAACACGTTAAAAAAAAGGAAATCTAGTGTCAAAACGTTTTGTAGGTCCGCAGCAAAACGGCAAACATACATACATACATACATACATAAACTTTATTAAAGTGTCAAGGTATTTAGCTAAAAAGCTAATTGTGGACACTATATATAGGTTTTCTAAGAACTGACAAACACTTGCCAACAACTGATCACGATAACTGATGAAAGAGTCACCTCATTTTTCCGTAACCGGACATCTTGCCATCTTCCCAGTATCCACGATACTTTTCTCCAGACGATACTGCAGAGTTGGGCGGGTAAATCAAGATTCCTTCACTAACAAAAAACAAAGGAACATTGTAACTGTTGTCAGATTCTGTTATTGGAAGAAAGATTGGCGATTAGCGCGAATCCAGGCTTTGCTAACACGACAACCGGATCACAGTTAACCCAAGACTACATCTAACTGGGTTTTTAAGAATCCTGAATCTAGTCCAGTAAATTCGTTCGAGCTTGACTTTACCATCCTCAACTGCGGGTACTCGCATGGAACTAGCCAATTTGGTCTTAATAATAAGACTTGACTATAGAGTCTACGAACTCACCCATGTTGCAAACCAAATTTAAATTCGCCAGTATAATGTCGTCCATCAGACCAGTGCATTTCTCCACTAAAATCAAAGACAAATACGTATAATTTAGTACCTTAAAATTTCTGAAAGGATATTTTCCTCTAGAAAGCAACTGAGATGAATTATATTTTTAAAATACGTAATTAAAAAAAAACCCAGGAAGACAAAGCTATGTTTTTCTTTCAATATCAAGGACAGAAGTAAAAGTTTTGTTTGTTTTGTGCGTAGTTCTAACTTTTCCATGGTCAAACTATAGGACTTCACTCATAGACCCATATAAAACGTCTTCATTAGTACTTTTACGTTTTACGCAGTCGTAACTTTTGAGGCTGTGGATGAAATCCTATGGTGTAACCATGCAAATAAAGGCTACTTACAGTTTTCTCTTAACTTTCAAAATGAAATTTGGCCTTTGGAGTTAACTGAGATATTACTATGATACTTACTGTCCATGAGGCTGTCCATTTAGCCACATGCCATGGTAACTTGCTCCACAGAAGACACCTTCCTGTTCAAATGTGTAGGACGCCTCCCTAGCTACTGCAGGCAGTAAACTTCCAGTTTGGGGATTGAGTGCCTCTGCTCCAAGCCTTTGGTGACCAAAAAAAGAGCAAGGTAAATTGGTATTGGCGTCTTTAAGCCTGTGAATACGGCCGTCGCTAGCGAGTAGGAGCGAGGAGAGAAGGCTGTATTCGCAGGCTAGGTATCTTTGAGAGTAAGAAACTGACCGCCCGATGAGATTTTCGACTCAGTACCTGTAAGTTGTTGTTTTGGAGATGACATTCGCAACTGCCTGATTGATGGTCATTAACCAATCAGCCTGTGAAAACAAAAATCATAACATTAAAACAGCTTCTGGTTCAATTCAAGTAAACCAGACTTTGGCAGATTCAGCTCAGCTGGAGGTGGATTTGCCTGTAGGAGCAGGAGGTTACACCTCGAGGACAGAATTTTACTGTCTTCGCTCTGAAAGATTAGACCTTTACATGGCTTGAATGACCGAGTACCAATGGCGGTCCAGTCTCCACTAATGGAACAAAAAATATATTTTCCTGAATCGTACTTCGTCCTAAAACGGCTCTAAAATTTTCACTGAATAATGTTAAGACAATACCCTTTTCACAAGTTGAAACGACAAAATGTGTCAAACAAAAATCAAACGAAAAAATCGTTCAAACACTCGGAAGGATCATAATTCTCTCAGCTAACAGTTCATTTACAGTTTGCCTTGCCTCACCTTGTCAACAGTTGAGGGAGCACAAACAAGCAAGATCTCTTCCGGCGTGGTGATTTTGATGCCATTCCTTTGATAACCAATCAGAAATAACAAGAGTTCAGGTACGTTACTTTCTGACCCTCAATGGGCGTTTGAGAAGGGGGGGAAACTGTGTTTAAGTTTTCCTTCTTTCTTTCTATGACGCTACATAAACTCGGCGCTAAATCTTAACACTAGGGTGCGTTCCTTTTGGCCCTCGGATCATGGTAGATCAAATCAACCAATGAATCCACTCTGAACAAAGGATTCATCGGTTTATTTGATCCGAGTGCTCTCAGATCACTGATCCAGATCCGGATCATCTCAAAGGAACGCACCCTGGTCTGTGTTCGGAGTAGTACGTTGGGGTGTGCATCTCAGTATCTATCACACATCACTGATTTAACACATGTCGTCTCTTGATTCCCGGGTAGTTTAGAAAATGTAAAGGATAACCTACAAAACGCGGTCGCTGTAGCGAGTTAACCGTTTTGCAGCGGTAGTTTAAGTACTCACGTGATTCCTTGCTTCACGTCGATGCCTTCAGCCCACACCGTGGCTAAAGGAAAGGCTTGAAAGTGTTTAGCAGACTAAAGGACAAAAAAACAAAAGGTCACTGATAATTTTTTAGTCTCAGTAGGATGGTTCATCAACTAATTGGCAAATGGTGGTGAGCAGAAGAAAAGCTCGCGTACAGTTTCACGTAAACCACATGTATTTGAGACATTATTCCAACAAACCAAAACTTGGAAGGGGGTAAAAGAATTGTCCGCGATATTTCAGCGACGTTAACTTCAGGAAAACGGAAACAATTGTTTTGGCCAGATATGTACGGTAATTGTTTTTCAATCGTCTCTCCCCTTTCCACACAAATAAATTTGAACGGAACGTACATGCTGATTTCATGTATCCGTTAAACTTAGGCGCCTTGGATGAGAGGAATGGGTATTCAGCATACGTTCTTATCCCAGCGCTTACAAAGGTAATTAATGAGGAATATTTTGAAGAGACATTTATAATTATACTTTGAGGCGATCGACTACAATTTCGGTACGCACGAAGAGTTTAAAGTACAAAATTAAGGACGTAAACTTGGTATGTTTTATTGTCATTGACTGTGCAAATGAATCAGTGAGTCATACCTGAAAGTGGACGAAGAAGTCATCAAACAAGACATAAAGAGGAGATGAGAATCTTGTTCCTTTTGATGGATATAGGCTGTGTATATTACTGCTTCTCAACAATCTCCTTCGACAGTCTTTAAATGTTTCCTACAATAAACGTTCAAAAACTTGCTTTACTCTTAATGAAAATACCACAAAGATTAACTGCCTATCAAGGAATGTTACAAGTATCGAATGAAACACAATCAGTCAAGTTTTGTAGATAGAAAACTCTTTCATCGAGTGCCGTTAAACCCAACACCAAATCTGAAATATAAATTGACCAATCACAACAAAAGCTGACCATCAAATGAATCAATCATGTCTTGAAGCAAGTGGTAGGCGCGAAAAGCGCGGGAAAACCACAAAGCCAAACATTATTTCTCTAGCCAATCACAGCACGCGCAGACAATCAAATGAACCAATCAGAAGTCGAATTAATACGACTGGACATCCAGCAGGCGCCTTAGCCGGCGCCGTGCCGGGAAACGTGCCAGGTCAAACCAGGTCACCATTGGTTTTGGTTTTAATTTTGATTGGCTGCAAAAAGGTTCCGCGAAAGTTTCAAGCCAATGACACTGAGAACGAACATCTACATCTATAGTTTCAATTCACAACAGTTTCCCCATACACCATAGGGATCCCAGACTCTCAACAGCCTACTGGAAGCCAAATTATAAGGACTTGTATGGGAATTTATCGTAAGATCGATAAAACGGTCTAAAAAATGTAAATAAGCAGCTATTAAGTATGCATACCTTATAGACACGCCGTACATTCAAAATCCCCTCGACGAGGAACCCGTGTTTTTCCCGCCACTTCTTTGTAAAATGAGCGAAAGCGTTCCCTGGGTACCCCTGCGAATCTGGTTTTCTATGGATTGATTTTTGTCCTGTCTATCCCTACCGAGGGGATTTTGACTGGCAGCGTGGTTACTAAGCCAAGAGCAACGGCCATCGGTAGTTCACTACGAACCTGGAGAAGAGCGGTTCCACGGAAGCGCTAAGTTCAAATTCTCACCCTCTTGAGGCCATTGCCCGATGTTTGAAACAAGATTGAGATTGGGATGGCCTTCGGTCTATGCTCAAGCGAAGATTTGGAGCGATTGAGTGGAAGAAAGGTAATTTTTGTAGCTTTTTCTTCGGGCAGGGTAGAACAGCCGTGTTTTCCCCTTTCTTCCTTATAGTAGGTGAGAAACCAAACATTAAAACTTGCTTAAATGGCGTTTATAGGAGAGGAAACCGTAAGAAAACAACACAAAGTCAACCCTTTATGAGGTATGTATAATAGCTGTTTATGTATACTTCGACCGTTTATCGATCTTACGAAAATTCCCACACAAATCATTAGGCTGTTGTGAGTCTGGGATACCTGTGCACACACGTGAACTGGTCAGCACTTTTATTATTAATTAGATAAATAAATAAACATAAATTACACAATAAATGAATAATCCTGGTTAAATAGATATATTAGGAAAGGGTCGCCTGCTTTGACATACAACTAGTACTAATGTAGAAAAACAAAACCAAAGACTCTATGAAATTAATTTCAATACTTGACTAAAAATTGTTTATGACAAGAGCTATTGACGCCATTGGCAACTCACTGATATTTTAGCAGGGCATTCTTGCCAAAACTTCTGTGTGGCTGCAGCTTGTGATTGTGTGTTTTCATCTCGAGTGATAAACTGTTCCCATTGCTCGGCCTCTTCTTGCAAACGAGCGCAGTCCACTGTGTTTTTCTACAACAACAAAAAAGAAGATAAGCACCAGCAATACCACTTGCTAGCACTTTTTTAGCACTTACGACAAAAGACGCATCTGTCAGAACGAGAAAAAATGTATTATAAAGACAAATTGAACTGCAAACCAGCGTTGTGAAAGATAAAAATACATTCAATTTTCTCCTAGCCAGAGAATCTGCCATCTCTCCTTGCTCCTTACCACAACGGACATTTCCGTTTTTAATAGAGTAGTAGTCCGAATCATAGAGATGACGGTTAAGAGAGAATTTACTGTAATAGCTACAAAAATCCGGTCCAAAAGTGTGACTCGACTTGCTTGTGTACCCCGATCTAAACGATGATCGAACCATCGAAGTATTTTTCTGCAAGAAAAGCTTACTAACCTCGGTCATTTGTATTGTACTGAGCAGTTTTCCTACAATAACTCGGTAATGTTGCATCTTTAAGAGTGGAAACTGCATCATGTACTGGAAGGCGTTCTCCGAACTAACAAAGTCCTGAAGCAAAGACAGGTACAAAATATTCTGTTATACACACACTACCACAGAAAAAAAAATCCTTTCTACATGGACAACTTTAAGAGCGCTAATGATTGTCCCAAACTATTTCCTATAGAAGAGGGAAGAAATAACTTGACTTTCTAAGAACCAAAAGTAGCAATGACTGTACCATCCTATCAAAAATATACTTTAGTAATTAATGTTAGCCGGTGTTTGAGGGACTTTTCTTGTTGTAACCTTGTACGCTTAGAATTTGAATTGAAAGTTAGCAAGCTATACATATAGTTGACAAACAGTTCATTTATTGATCCGGTTCCATCTACGGTTAAAAACGTCTTTCGAGGCATGTAAAGGGGGTTCGTTACCTGTGCTGAATCGTCTAAAATATCACACAACACAGCCTTGCTTTGCGTCGTTATGTCACTAAAAAACATAACACAAAACAGTTAAAAGAATAGTGACCAACATCAATTTTCTCCTAACAATGTCTGCAGAAATGGTTACGAGACTTAATCATATGATTACCAAAGAGAAAATGCTTTGATCTTTTATTAAACTCTCTCAACTTATCTCTAAAGAAATGTATGAATATCAGTCTGGAGAATTTGTATGTGGATATTAGGAGTCTTAAGTTGATAAATGGCTCAGTACTTGAAAGCATGCACCGTATCATTTTTTAGAAATTAGTGTCAGGAACGCAAGGGTTAAAGTGCTGTTTTACTAAAAAATTGTGACATGAATGATTTAAAGCTGCAGTTACTTAACAAATACCTTGACACATTTGAAAATGCTGTAAACACGCCAAATGCCACTCCATTACTGAAACTTGCAGAGTACCTACGCAAAATAAACTTGAGGTAAGTTTTTTTTTTTTATGCGAAAGATATAGCATCAACTTCACAGGAAATGGTAAAAATAACATGCAGTTTCTTGTCTATCGCGGATTGGACAGTGTAACGTTTTTATTTGGTTCTCACAGACATAAACATTGAAAAAGCGCAAATGCCAAGACAAACGTAAACAATTCGGAAATGGTCATCTCCCTCGGTTGCCACAAACGTACTACTCTAAGGGGATATGCCATGATGATTTCTACATTTTGGGGTCAAGGATGAGTTGAAATTCTCAGTCATCTTTTTTTAATAGCCCAGGTAGCTGGCGGTTTGTTTGGCGGGGGGCCGGGGGGAGGTTTGGCTCGTTTGCACACTCAACAAACAAAAACGCCAGCTTCGCAAACTACTTTTTATCGCTAATGCTGGAACCAGAAGGAAAGACATCAAGCGATTATCCCATACAAAAGGAACAACCAAGCATGGCCAGTTTTTATTAACTTTTTTGACAGAGTTGGACTTGAAAAAGGGGCCACGAATTCCTAATGTTACAATCCTTTTTCCCTGACGGCAATCAAAATCCAGGGAATGTCATTAACACAAAAACAGGACATAAATGCACTGATGATCAGTGCAGTTGAAGAAGCAGCTTATGCAGTTGCAAAAAGAAAGCCTGCAAAAATTTCAGGCTTGCTGGGATTCGAACCTTGACCTGTGCGATACCGGTGCAACTTACGGTGCAACGCTCCTAAAAAGTGGAACTATGTTGTATAATTATGTCTGCAAAGAATGCATGGAGCGTTTAAAAGGGATAAAATAACTTACTAAACAACCAGTACCTTTCAAAAGCTTGTAAAAACGCATCAGACCAGCAGTGTTTAAATAATTCATGGCAGCTTTTCATTGATGAAACTATTTGAGTAGCAGCTTTCTGATTTGAGGAGACACACTTTGTTATGTCATAAAAACTCTTAATGATCGGCGCTAAAACTTGACCAATCTCTTGCAGGGCCAAGACAGACCAAACTTCTGCAAAGAATTGAGCACAAAAGTCCATCAAACAAGGATATATCCCTCTCTTACTGCCTTCAAAAGATTTAAAAGACGAGCTGTAAAGCCCTCCCCACCCTCCACCAAATTCTAATGGAAGGAAAATCTCTGAATACGCTCCTCTTTTTTCTAGTTTTGTTAATGGGGAGGCATTCGAATGCAAAAGGAGTATACTAGAATGTGATTATTGGGTTTAAAATTTGGATAAAATTTAACCACAACATAATTTTTTTCATATATTTATTTGTGAATGTCTTGTAATAAATCTAACAAACTTTGACTCTTACTCAAAATCTCTAATCCAGACATATATTGTTTTAAAGGCATCAAGGAATTTAACTTACAATGATACTATTTGTTTTCTTTTGTTTTATCAAAAATCCTCAGTATGAGTTACAAGTTTTAAAAGTACATTAACTACTGTTACAGCTTTACTTTGTACGCAAGGTTTGAACAGGGTACAAAAAAATTTAGTTTTACAGCTTGACATTAAGGCAAGCTGTAGCTAGCATGTACTATAAGCCCAAACATCATTTCGACTAGCACGAAAAACAATTTTTAATGAGCAGGTTTCATTACAGTCCTTTTGTGATTTTAATTCCCTGAAAAATGTCATTTGCCCATCGTGCAACTTAAGAACAGAACTCATAAGTCGACAGCAAAATTCACTAGCCCCGGGCTATCAGACACTACTGTCTTGCACACTATTGAAGCGTATTATTATTATAATTACCTGACTGAAGCAGTGGTGTTAAGACAGCCTGCCAAATCAGAGCCAGTTGGTAATAAAACAACCTCTCTTTACTCGCAAGTTCACTCAATATCTCAAACTTGCCACTCCTGTCACTGTCAGAGAAGATCGACAATTTACTGTTAAAGCAGCAAATAATAATTGAATATATAAGGTAAGTTAAAGTTTGGATATATGGTAATCACTAGCTATCCAAACAACTGTAAATTAAACAGAACCTACAACTTACAAAGCACCTTTTTTTTTAAAGTAAGATGCTACAAACAGTAGATTGGCTCAATGCAAAAAATGCAAAAAGTATAATAAGAGCATAAAAAGAGCATACATGTAGGATCTTACCTGGCTGCTAGACAACCACAGTGCTCTGTGTTAGCGGCTATACTGCGCAGTTGCCCCACCTATCAGATAAATACTCATTAGCACTTTACGGGGTCGGCCAGGGTTTTTGGGTATACGGTATACAGGGGCTTTTTAAATCGGGTATACGGTATATTGCAGCTTAAATACAGGTATTCGGTATATCACTTTCGTTGAATTTCAGGTATAAAGTATACCTGGGTATAATTTTGGGTATATTTGGATGAATTTTGCGTATTTTGGGGTATTTTGGCAATTTTTTTTCGGGTATACTGGTATACCACTACCCCCCCTGGCCGACCCTGACTTCAATTTCAGAGAGACAGCGTGGCCAAATAGTTTGAGGGCTGAACTTGTAATTCTAAGGCACAGAGTTCAAGTCCTTCCCTGATCGCTAGCTGGATTTTTTTCTCAGTATTCCTGAGTTCAAATCTTCAACCACACTTATAGAATAGCCAACTAGTTTGCATCCAGGCTAGTCATGTTCCATTTACATTACTTGCTTCGTTATCCCTGAAAAGCCTTATAAAGGGAGAGAATACTTAAAGCCTTATTTATTTATTTACTTGGGGACAGGGACAGGGATTTCCCTCGGCTACTGGGACCCCTAGTTTGTTTGCTCTGAGCAGCTTTCATTCGAATGGTCACACAACAGGATTTCATCCACTAATTCAAAAGTTAGAACCACCTTGTACAACATGATAAACAGTACCACAGCAAAGTACTGCTCAGTAGCTTTCATTTGAATGGTCACACTTTAGGATTTCATCCACAGACTCAAAAGTTAGAACCGCCTTGTACAGCATAATAAACAGTGCCACCAACAGTACCTGCTGAGTCAGTAGCTTTTATTTCAATGGTCATGCTTTGAACATGATTTTCTGCACAGAGTAAGCCTCGATAGTACTTTAAATACTTAAAACTAACCCTAGCCAAATGCATTGATTATACAAACCGTTCTAAACATAGTGAGCCGAACAATCTCCACCCTACAATGCTGAAGAGATCGTTCTTTGGTGTCGTCAAATGACTGAGATGACAGTAAGATTGGTCTGTCCTGGGGTTTTGCTGTGGCTCTTATGTTTTCATCACTGGCACCTGTTGGCAATGACATTGACCTGCTTTCTTTTATGCTGTTCATGGTGGCAGCCACATTAGGCATAGCACTAACATAGAGAAATACTGTATTAGGTTACAATATGAAAGGCATACATAGTTAACATTATAACAATCATGCCAGGTCAAGAATAACCCTGAAATGGCATCAAACATCTATTAAACAACTCAGCCCAGGGTCTTGGCATGTAAGCAAATCTTGGATAGTACTAATTGTCACCCCTTATGAATTATTTCTTATGAATATATTATTTCTTATGAACTTGTAACTTCCTACAGGCACGCGCGTAAATTCCTTCTTAGCAGCTTTACATCTTCCGTTGGCATGCAATAGTTTTTTTATTCAAATTCCGTGTGCCCGTTTGTAGTCCTAGCGTATGTTGTAACAAACTTTTTGTTGGCAATTTTATCTGAGGAGTGCCGTACATGCCATGCGGTACGAAACTAAGTAGTAGTAAAAATGCCAAGTCAAATCTCACGTTGACCCCAGACAACCTTGATTATACTACGTCCTAGTCCTTCTATTGAGCACTCTGCTGATAGCTGTGCATATATGCATCAACTGGTATATTTCTTTTTTTCTGTATTTTTCACTATACCTTGGTTGACGTCCACAGACGTAAATATCAGGCTTGCTAACAGCCATATCACCAATGAACAGAGAATAGTGGCTGCCAGCTGCAATGTCCCACACCAACACATCTGAAAAACACTACATTGAACAAATAAAAACTTAGACAGTACAGGAGAAGAGTGATAAATATTTCAACATAGGCAAAAGGGAAGATTAAAAGGTTTTTATTAATTAATAATACCCTGATCTTCTTAGGTTGTAAAGCCATGCTCTTTTTCCTTCCAAGCTGGCCACAGGAATTGTCTCCCCAAGAAAACACCTAGGAACAGAAAATTGAAAATAAGGAGAGCAAAGAATTAATGAAATAAAAAGAAAAGTATCAAAAATTAGATCTTCAAGGCAGGCCTTCTAAAGTGCACAAAACTGACAATATAGATAAATTTATTTAATAATGATTAATTATTATAATAATTATAATAATTATTCGGGTTTTTCAGGAGACAACATTATGACGTGGCCAAGGGGTCTAACTAGATATTATTATGTGGAAAATTCTTTAAGAGGTCTCTGGAATAGATTTGGGATGGAAAACGTACTGTTGATTCCAGAGACTGTACATTATAATTTCATGCAAAGAAAGCTATGTGGCCTTAAACTAGCATTAAGTTTAACTCATTGTAATTTTGTCTAGATTATGAAATCTAAATGTAAAGAAGATCACTGCATGCAAACTGCATGTAAACTGCGATGATCTTCTTTGCATTAAGTTCTTCATCCCGCAGTTACATTATTTCATTATGAAATTTGTTTTGAGTAATAACAATTTTTATTTGGATGCGACAGGATCAACTTCCCAAAATCAGATTTCCTAAAACTTTAAACTACCTCAATACAACCACACGCATTATTCTTTTAACTGCGGCATGACAAAGCATCAATGATATTCAAATAGTACCTGAGAACAAGCAGTTTGAGCCAATGAGTGAAATGTTCCTGCAGCCAACTTGGTGATGCCACCATCATTCAGAGTCTCCACACAGCATGGAAAATACCTGAGTGACAAATGATATTTGTAAACTCCTCCAATTCGCCTTTTTTCCAGCTTTTAATTATTGCGACCCTCTTAGCAGGGCTGCCATTAAGAGGTGCAGGGTCAGGGATTTCCCCTGACTACTATGAATGTGGTCCCCAGCTACTTTCATAGGAAAATAGAAGAAAAGTAGAACCAAAAGTAACCCCTAGTTGTTTGATTCCCCAGTTACTTGTCGTAGTTACCTTGCAACTTGAAATCTTAGTGACCACCCTGTCTTAAGGTGATGTAACATGGGACAATTCACAACGACGATTTTTAGCGCAACACAGCGTTGCAATGCTGGGACAATGTTGTAACCATTCAAAACAATGTCGCAACGCTGTGTTGTGCTACAAATCATTGTTGCAAATCGTCTCAACATCACCTTTAGGTGGGGTTCATACATCCCTGGTCAAATTAAGCCAGTGGTCAAGGTACCTGTATTCCATTTGGAATACTAAATAACCCATTCTGCAGCCATGGACCAGGCCAGCGTCTCTTAACAGGGCCTTTGAACAGAGTACAGACCTCCCCAATGAGGACTAAGGAAAGTACCCTCCTAACGCAGTCTCATAACCTAAGAAAGACAAACACTTAGCTTTCTCAGGAGTCCCCTCCCTGAGATTGCAATGTCTCTTATGGTTCTATAACCCTTTCAAGCCCAATATTTACATACTGTACAGATTCTCCAGACTTAGATCAATACATTTCCTTAGTGGATAAGTTGAGAGAATCTGATAAAAGATCAAAGAATGTTCCCTTTGGTGATTATTTCGTCAATTGAAAGGCTCCATGCAAAAACATGTAGCTGGGAAATGGGAGTTTCTCTCTATAATATCTATAGATCATCAAGAAAAGAAGGGCTCCCTTCAAGAATGTCCCCTGAGCAAACTGGTGTCAGAGGACATTCTTGAAGGGAGCTCTTCTTCTCTTGATGATGTATAGATATGTTAGAGAGAAACTCTTGAGAGTTGGAGGGTTAATATCCCAAAAAATTCAGATTGGTAAAAGCATTATGAGATGGAACCAGCATTTTTCATTTGTATCCAAAGACAAGAATACTCAACCATCACCCATGTCAAATATTTTTTTTAACCTCCTTAATTCAATACACACCTGTCTTCAGTGTCTCCAAGACCAAGTTGTCCACAGCCTCCTCTTCCCCACGACCATACCTGGGTGTTTGCACCAACAAGCTTGAATTTGCTACCATCTGTATCACACAAACACAGGCCAAGAAGACCACAGTTTTTACATGGCATCTTTGCCGTGACTGCCTTGGGTGGATCATGTAAAAATATCTGTCCAGGTGCCGATGTAATGAACATTCCGGCAACTGAACCAACGACGGCGCTTGTCAGCTTGCTAAGGTTAACATCAGATCTGATAAGTCTACTACTCAGAGCACTGTAAAAACTCAGTGAATTCTTTGAAACTGTGGAAGTTTCATCTAATTCCCTGCCGCGATTATCCTCTGAGTCTGAATCAGTACTGATGAAAGACAACATGCTTTGATCACTTGTAGGTGATGAAGGAAACAGTGGTGAAACAGATGAGTACAAAATATTCTCATTTGATTCAGGGAGCTCGACAGACAGTGGTTGTTCAGAAGATTTAGTTTGGTCAGCATCGATGTGGAAACATTTGTTGTTATCAACAATGGTTTCCTCTGAGTCACCAAAATGAGAATCACAGATCGTAAGGGAAGAATTCTCGTTGTTCGAAATTTTAACTGAATCTGATACACATGGTACATTACTATCAGCACTACACTGAACATAATCTAATGAATCAAATTCCTGTGGCTCTACAGTCCTTTTATCATTTTTGCTTTGCACGATCTCTGGTTTAAGTACGTCATTCGTAACAGTTTGGCTCGACATCTCATCCTTTGAAACACTTGACACCGGTTCATAACTGAGATATGTTCTTGTGACACTACTCTTTTCAGCATGTGATCTGCTGATTTCATGCTTTTGCTCGGCTTTTGCTTTTTGCGGTGACACTGCCCCTTCATGATGCTTTCCTGAAGTTTGGTTCTTTTTTAGTGATCCTTTGGAACTTTTCCGTGGCTTCTTCTTAGATCTATCACGTTTTAACTTCGGTTCTGCAGTTGATGGAAGGTCATGTTCACTCTTACTAAATACAAAGGTTGGAAACGATTCCCCTCCTTGAATGATTGCTAGGCTATGGTACGCTCCACATGCAATCGAAGTAACATTTTTTCCGATCAAAAATTCTATTTGCTTAGGGAAATTAACTTGCTCTAATTTTACTCCATGTCCTAGCTGACAGCCGGTTCCCCAAGACCACACTTCTCCCTTGGAGGAAAGGGCTAGTGAATGAGATTCGCCGCACGCAATTTCTTTGATCACGGGTCTCTTCTTTGGAAGTGGCGGTGCATCGTCTTGCTGTGTTTCTGCTTGTATATTGTGAACAGTTTCACTGCGATTAAAGAAGATCTGACAAGGTTGATGAACTAGTTTATTTTCACCAACACCGCATTGGCCGCTCGACGAATCGCCCCAAAAATAGATTTCATTGTTAGCGCAAACGACTCCACTGTGATGCCCGCCACAAGAAATCTCCTGCACGCATTTGTCGCCAAAATAATCGATCACCGTTGGTTCTCGTCGCGGTTTGAAATCACCGAGACCTAGCTGACCAAAAGAGTTATCCCCAACGGATAGCAGTTGTGAATTGAACGTCAAAATCAACGTATGATGATTTCCCAAAGCTATCTTAGCAATGCCGTCACATAACGCCACACTTCTGATGCGAGGTTCCAAGTTGGTCGACCTCCAAAAATAAGAAATTCCTTTAGCAATGTCATCCTTGGATTTCTCTTTTTCCTCAGCGGCGTTCATGAAAACTGTTAGATCATTTTCCAGTGTTTAGTTTTCAAAAGAAAGGTTTCGAGCGCGGACAATGTTTTGATCGAAAGACAGTTTTTTTTCCTGGTACCCAGTGCTCTCTCGGCGTTTTGTTTGGGATTATGTAAGTGATGTGAGCACAACATTGTTCGATTCCTTTGCGCAATATTCAATACAGAAGGCAACCAATTTTGTCGTCGTTGTTGTTGTTATTATTGTTGTTGTTTTTAGTTTTTTTAATTATTTCCAATGTGGAATGTGCTCCCAGGAAGAGGTCAAAATAAGCCCCGTGGCTTATATTTTTCAAAGGCCTTTTTGGGGGGGCTTATATTCGGAGGGGCTTATGTACGGAGGGAAATTTGCGTTTCAAAATCGATTGGGCTAACTCGTAGTTGGAAGGAAATTTACCATTTTTGCTTTGTTTTACTTTGTATTCGAGAGCAAATTCCATGTACAAGCCCCCCGGGGGGCTTATATTCGGAGGGGCGATTTAGCGGAGGGTTTTTCGCGTTAGGATTTTGAGGGGCTTATATTTGGTGGGGCTTATTCATGGAGGGACTTATTTTCGGAATTTTATGGTAATTTCTTCCAGTAGTACCAAATTTTCTTGAAAAACTGGTCAATGCAAAAACTTGATGTATTATTCAAATAAATATGCTAATATGATGGTGTTGCGAGAACATCCCAATCCCAGGTGCGAATCCACACTGGTTTCCACTGTTTTAGGAAAATTGGTCAGATTCTTAATAAATAAATATATTTTAATAATAATAAGACTTTCCAAGTTGAAATCTGGCCAATACCCTGTCCGAATGACTCAGAAACCCGGGAAAGGGAACTTTGGGGAGTTAAAATCCAAAAAATTTCTCAAGGGGGACCATGCCCCGGATCTCCCTAGAAGCTTGCGTTGGTGCTCATTTAGGAAATCCGTCAGTATCTATCCTAGATCTGTGCCTGAATCCTACGTCACAACAAACCCTACAAACACTTTTTCAAACTAACGTGGAATTTTCATTCCTCTTTTAGAGCTGACTCCAAAGAAATCCTGACTGAGCTCAAAACCTGTAATATTCTAAAGGAAGAATTGTCTCCATCCAAAACATTTGCTAAAGGAGGAGAAACTACAGTGAACAAATAGGCAAAATTATAAATGGAAACGATAGCATCTGAAACTCTGAACATATACAGTATAATAATGAATAATCCACTCATTCGAGGATACCCAGGAAGTGCTGGTAAATGAGCTGTGTTTGCATTATCTTCAAGGGACAAGTGGCAGAAAAGTTTTTTCACCATTTTGACATTGCCCATTTTCACTTTGTTTGTTCCACAAAATTTTGCATAACCATTGGGTCTATTTCACCAGGGTATCACAGTTCGCTGAAGAGAAATTAAAGACAGTCAAGACAATGTTTACCAGGACACAATACTTAGGGATGTGGTGCCTGATTCATCTTTGTCGGGAAAATTCCGAGATGTCAGGATTTCAAAGTTTTTGCGATCATCCCAGACTTTTTAAGCAACAATTATTGCCTATTGCAGAAATCTGGGCTGCATCAGGAATATGGAAACACTCCTCTCCTGATTTGTCCCTGACCTCAGTCCCAGACAATTGGGGATATCAAGTTCCTATTAGGTGGAAAAATTTTGGACAGGCTGGAAACAATAAAATCCCCCAATTGTCTGGAATTTTCTCCACATATAAAAACCAGGTTCTATGGGCAACTTCAAAGATACTGATGCAGTATATTAAGTTCTGCACTGCCAAAAACATAGTTTACTTGATTCTGGGTTTTCACTTCAGTGAGCAGGAGTAAGTTACCATCAAGAAATGAAAATCAAGCCTGAGGCCAATTTAATAAAACTTTTACAAGTGTAATTTACAAGTCTGTACATTGTTTAAGAGACGAAAATAAATAGCTACACTTGTAAATCGTGCTTGTAAAAGAGGTTCGTGATGCGATGGGTTCACAAAAGAACCATAATAATATTGCAACAATAATTAACTTATACCTATTAATCAACTTGGTTTCATCATCTGTAACTTTTTAATATTCATATCACATTTTTTCATCACGCAAAGAGTTTATAAGATCACCCACCGTCCCCGCTGCCGGATGGAATATTTGACCTGCTAAGTTTGATTTGCCACGTTTATTAAATTCAGCTATTACATGAATGAATCAATAAACAATCTTAGGTTGCCTTTTTCAGTTTTTGCATAATAAGCTCTAGAGTTTTAAAAACCAGTCAAGTGAATCATATTCACATCAATGAATCAACAGTGACTTCTTTTCATGAGCAATTTATTTTAGATTCTTGAAAATCGTCTTAAATTTTCTTTACATTGGACTAATAAAATTTGAATGATGAAGAAATAAACTAAAAATATACATTCGATCAGTTTCTTATAATTTTACAGAGTATTAAACTAGAGTACATAAGCTTCTTATTGTAATTAACTAAACAATAAAAAACACAAAAACTGTTTGTATTTCTAATACAAACTTCATTACAATCGGCATAAAACTTCACAGCATGCACTAATCGCCCAAGAAAGATTTCACGTCGTTATAACCACGTTCCTTGGCCAGATGAATCATAATTCCGGTGCATCGGCGACCCCGCTTCTTCATGCAAAAGCTGCAGTTACAAATTCCTCGACATGGCGGACAATCCCATGCCGGATCCATCAAAGCTTTCTTGGCATCTTCTCCGTACCGATTCCTGAGGCACGGTCCACAAAATTGACCTCGTACACCAACACATGCCGGATTTCTACACGCCGTTTTGAGATCGTCGGTTTTCTGTCGGCATTGATGACACGTTGTACCATTCTCGGCGTCGTAATTCTTGTCAGCTACTCGCTCTGCTACCAAGATCAAATCTTCTTCGCTGATCTCTATCGCTGGTTTAGGCTGTCGCTTTGGCGATCGACGCTTACGTTTCGGGGAGGAACCGCCCGAATCCTCGCTGTCTGATGCACTCGAGCCTCGTCTGCCGCGTTTGTTGTGCAAAGACGGCCATAATTTGACGATCATGGTATTGGGTGAGTACACATTTTCTTCGGCGTTTTCAACGTCTTCGGCGTCCTCGTTATCTGAATCATACTTGCTGACATAAGATCTCGCTTTTCGTTTTGGAAGTTTTCTTCTGGGTAGCAAAATATCGGGAATATCTGATCTTCGTTTCTTCACGCGACCGGCCTTCGGTGATTTCGCGCAAGATAGGGCGGGCAGCTTCAACTCTTTAGGAAAAAGACTGTCGATCATAGCTTGGTTTTCTGCAATCCTTAAACGTCGCTGCTTCTCATATTCACTTTCCTCTTGAGTCACTGGCATCTTTGATGGAAAGTTTGAAACAATGATCAGATTTTCAGCCCTCGTAAAATCCGCCTGCAGAACTTGATCGCTCTAAAACCAACGCGTAATTTGGCGCGAAACTGATCATGTGCTTTTGGTCACGTGGCTCCTATCAAAAATTCTTCCTGCCCCAGCCCTATCTGGACATGAAGACGGGGCCAGGCCTCCCTTAGGAACAAAAAATTGACGAAATGAAGAAGCGGCCATGATCAGCAACCGCTTTTCAATTTGCTATCGCCAAAAACTTAGATCTATTAAAAAATACAGTCAAACTTCCCGCAAGAGGCCTTCCAAAATACAAAGTCGTTCGATTATAATTTAATACAGGAAGTAGTCGCTTACAAGAATCCAACCACAGAGGCTCCAAGCTTCCGTTACGAGGTCCGAACATATCTTTTTCTGTGTAGTTCCATATTGTCGCTAAGAGTGATACTCCAAGTTGCACACAATAAAACCCCGCGACTAAGAACCTGGATACTCAGTTTTAGTTAGCACACGTTCAGGGTATTTAGGTTTGCTCAAGTGCACAGAATTTTCATAGATTTTAGCAATAAGAACCTGTTTCAAATTTTAGGCTAAAAAGGTTCTTGTATAGAGGGGTCCTAACTGGCAAATCTTAGCCTAACAGGTTCTTAAAATCCACTGACGTTCTTAGTGGCGAGGTCTTACTGCATTACATACAGCGAACATCATGCATCAAGTTGTCGCTTACAAGAGGTTAAAAACAGTGAAAAATATTACCCAGAAAACTGGTCGCTGACGCTTACGAGAGATTCCAACTGTAAGGCTTTGACAAGGAAAGTTTTAGTGTTGGGGGTTGGTAGACTACGAGTAGTCCCCATTTTTCCTCAGAGATAGTAGACCGAGCGAAATTTTTCTCTCTCATCGCCGCGTCTCGCCTTTCTCGCGTGAGATGATTTTCACGCGCGCTTGCGTTTCGCTCGCTCTGCATCAAGTGGTATCGTTGCTGATCAACTGTCGTAGCACTCAGCCGTGAATGTGTGCCACCGTACCACCCTGCAAACAGGGTTCTTGAGAGGAGCAAAGTCAAGCCTTTTAATTCACTGAAGCCCGAACTTAATGATGGACTAGTCAAGTTATTTGTCGTCAAACTGGTTTTCCAAGCTGAACATCCGTTTATTGATAAACCGATAGTCTCAACTGAGCACGCGGCGGTACCAAGCGAACGGCTACAAGGCCTGGGTTCGAAACTGTATCCCATTCATTCATTCATTCTCTGATAACATCACTGAATATTGGCAGAGAATAACCATAAAGTAATATGTTAAAATTTCAATCCATTTACCGAACAGTTTGGGCAAACGCGTTTTAAAAAAAGTCGAAATTTTACAAAGAATTGCACAGAGCATTTTCGCAGTTTTTCGGCGATGTCTGCTATTTTCCTTTATATAACTTGCAAGAGGTTGACATTTGCACAAATTAAATCTCCCAAGTTTACGAACTTTTTCAATTTTTGAACTTTAATACTTGTATATACGGCGACTTATTCTCTGGGTGACTTAGTCTTAGACTATGTTCAGGAGCAAACTGAAATCGGTAAACAATTCCCCACTCCAGAAACTATAAGGGAAAGGGTCAAGCTTTCGGCGCAAGGATTTCTGGGATCGTTTGGGTGGACAAGCGTTACATATGATTGGTATAATTTTTTGTATCCTGCCCTCTCGTCGATCCATCCAATAAGAGGGAGTTTTAGATAGTAGGACGCCGAGCGCAGGCAACACTATGAAAATTGCCTGTGTAGGAGATAGAGAGGATATGTATACAGCTTGATAGCAGTGAAAATAAAACTTCACTAGACTGTTAAAGACACTTTTAAGGCGATCATTCTAACTCGTTAAAAATGGAAACTTTACCTGAACTTCCCTGAGGGGAAATGACTGAATTCTTGGGAACCGAACTCAAGATTAGAAAAGAAGAAGGAAATATTTGTTACTCGTTGCTTTATAGCCTGCGAAAACATCCGTTTCTCCTCGCTCTTCGCCGCTAAACGTTCCAGCGGCGAAGGGCGAGGAGAAACGGATGTTTTCGCAGGCTAGTTGCTTTACGTCCCCCATAAAACGTCACGCAAGAGAAATCACGTCGTAATTATGTAGTGACGGCAAATATATGTAGAAAAAGAATACTACACGAAGACATGTTGCTGTGTTTTTGTCCGTAATAATTAAACCCATTGCTTTTTTGACGTTCACTTTGCTGTCGTAAGAAAACGAGCAGAAAATATTTGCTAATGACACCTTAATCGCCCTAACGATGTTTAATGATGATTTAAGCAATTGAACAATGCAAATGACCCTTGAATGTGTACGTAGAAAAGAATCATCTGAAGCAAAAAATCAGAGCGCTAAAATAAATATTGCATCTTGAAAACGAGGCAGACAAAAATTCTGCAAAAACTTGGAGCAAAATCAGTGTCTTTTAACCATGAAAAATTTTACGTGGTGTAAGAGAGCCTGCTAGACTTCTTGCTACTTCTCACAAATGTTAAAGAAGCAAATTTGAATCAGTAACCATAGAAATTTACACCTAAGAGGAAAACACTCGTTAAAAATTGACACAGCCTCACCAAAAGTTACTTTCGTTACGCTTGATCATTAATATTGGGGAAAACGTTTCAAGGATCTAATAACTGAACTGAAGTAAGGAAGTAATTTTTTAGTACTTTTTTATTAGTTTTAAAAATTAATGTAATTATTCAAAACGTTTTTGCCTTGCTAGCAGATTTAGTTTACACCCCGAGATTTTTAAGGCCCGTTTCAAAGGTCGTGCTACTATCGTGCGGACTCAATTGATCGAATTAAATTGGACTTCGTGCTACTGTCGTGTACTGAGCACGACAAGCTTTGCCGTGCTTCACAGCAGTAGCTCGACTTGGTTGGTTTCAAACGTCGCGCTAATGCGGTGCCGAACTCAATTCATAAATATATAAATCAATAGAACACATTTAAAAGTTTGCTAAACCGATTCCTTATTTTTGTGTGTTGTTTTCGGCAACAGCCGTTCTATTTGCCTGTATTAAATTCGACGTCTGAAACCAAGTCGCGCTAGTGTGGTGCTGAAGTCGAGCTACACTCGAGCAAGCTTAGCACAGCAGTAGCGCGACGTTTGAAACAGGCTTAAATTAATTTTTCTAGAAATCTGAAGATTTAACTCTGCTCTGATCAGTTGATTCGTGAAAAGTCGGTGTTACATTGAGTTTTTTCACATAATTTAATTTTCAAAAACAATTCAGAAGTTCCAGTGAGTCTGTGCGGTTTTAGCGAAAAATGGGAAACTGCCTTGAAATCGGGGAAAAACCTGGCCGAAAACTCGATAAAAATTATGCAAATTGTCTATTTTCAAAACGGTCGTTCGAAACACTGAAATCTTGTCTTCACTTTTTAAAATTAAAGAAAGTATATTTCAAGCTATTTTTTTATAATGATTTACGCTTTCCGTTCCAATTATTGTACGCACGAGGGAGAAACTAGAGTGTAATCGACCCCTTCACGGGGGAAAATGAACACAGCTAGCTATTCATAAAATCAATTCATGTCTATTTTTCGCTGTTTTGTCTTTTTTTCTAGATAAAGGCTGATGAGATGAAGTTTCCTTGCCAAAACCTTTTGATGAGTTATCGGGTGTTGTTTGTCATTGCTGTGTCTTGTGCCGCTTTGGGTTTGCTGTACGTCATGATTTTCGACAATTTTTTAACGCCACAATGGAATACAATCTTCTACACCAATTCAAGAATGTATCACTTGAATACTAGCAACAAGAGTAAGTATATAAAGAGTGCGTGACTGACCAAGTTTCGTTGGTCAAGATGACAAAATTGGTTAGGTGTAAAGTTTTTTTTATTGCGGTTTTTAATTACTTTCACTACTGCCCATCATTTTCCGAGATTTTTTAGTGATATAAGGGCTCTTAGATACTGATTTTGTTAGTAAGTCGGTATGGCAGGTAGTATAATTCATTAAAAAAAGTTTATTATAATGATAGTAAATTGTCTTTATCGGGGAATATTAGCTATTTGCGCCATATGTAGTGTTATTAGAACAAAAATATTACCTTGATAACCAGTTATTAATTCACTTATCAACTCCCTCCAATCAGCCAATCAAGCATCTTCCAGAATTTCGCACAGAGCCCCGAGAGCCTGGGGCAAGTTAAGTTGAAAACATTCTCATAAGATAAGAGGGCTATTAAGTATTGTTCGATGGTTCCACCTTGTCCTAAAACACTATCCTTTTTTCTTGAAACAAGACTTACGAATTCCCATAATCCTAAGATACATTATGCAAACTAAACCTGCTCACAGTGCATCTTCGTTCCCAGGGTAGCGACGAGTAGAACAGAACCCTGGGAACGAGGTTGCTTACAGCGGCGCTCTCACGTTCTCGTGACGACTATAATGCAGGTTCGATTCTCGGTCTATGCAACGTTGAGTCTCGGCGCTCTACTCTAATGTTTTTCGATCTCCGGGTTCTCCAGTTTTTAACCCTGGGAGCCGTCTCTTGCAATTGATAGAGGAAGAGAGAGAGAGAGAGAGAGGGTCCTTGAACGAGGTTGTGTCCAGTTCGAACGTAAACCCTCCCTAGTCTTCACATTGAAACTCTTGCTTCATTTCGGTGTTTGTTCAGTTACTGTTTGTTTTATCATATCATAGAAAGAACAGCAGTTTTTCAAATTAATGCCAAGGAAAAAGGAGACCACATCAAAGAGCAATCTTCACGGGCAGAAGCCAGCCAAATACGCAACAATTTGAGGAACTTAAGTACACTACAGTCTCAACCAAATTCAGTGGCAACGAGGAAAAATCTCATCATATTAAGTCCAGGCAGAGGAGGGTCTTCTTTCCTTGGTGGTATTTTTGACAGCAGTCCATATGTTATGTATTGGTTCGAGCCTCTCCACACAGTGATCACAGAAATATTAAAAGCTGATGTAATAAAGTTCTTCGAAGGAGAAGAGCCGAAAAATTACAGTCAAACTTCAGTCAGAGTAATCAACAGCATGTTTGATTGCGATTTTAGCAACATCAGTGATTTAACTATAACGGCATTTTCTAACAGCATGTTTCGTAAGCGCAGTAGAGCGCAAACCAGTGGCTATTTATGCCCGGATAAATGCTTACCTTTCACAAGATCTCTGCTTCGGAAAGCTTGCAACTCTTCCAATCATACGGTTATCAAGATTTTAACTGATCGAGTCCCCAACAAGGCTATAGAAAGTTTAGAAGAGTTATTCAAAATGACTGATCGGTATGATGCGAAGCTAATTCTCCTATTTCGCGATCCTAGGGCTCTTCTTTATTCCATGACAGAGTCTGCACGTTGGATAACTGACTCACCTCTGGATTCAAAGTTTCGTAAATTTGTTCATAGGGTTTGCAATCCCATTATTCAAAATATACGTTTTGGTTTGTCTCCCCCACCATGGCTTAAAAACCGCTTTAGAGTTGTTCGCTATGAAGATCTCGCGTTGAATACTGTCAATACAGCACAAGAACTGTTTAGATTCGCGGGATTTGATTGGTCGGAGAGTGTTGAACGATGGATAGCTAAACACTCAGGACGGAGCAGTAAAACATCCGCGAGGGATCCATACTCCCTTTACAGAAATGCGTCATTTGTCATTAACAAGTGGAAAAATGCTTCCGAGGTTTTCATAAGGACTGTAGAAGATACATGCGGGGATCTCATGGACATGCTTGGGTACGAAAAGTGGACAAAACATGGTAAATCTGATATAATTACAGTAAATAAGGAGATCAGATATCCATGACGAGACTATAGAGTTTAAGGAAAGCCTCGTGAGAAACACACTTGCTACGGTGCACAAGTTTTGTGTACTATAAACTCAGTGGCGGATCAAGGGGAGGGGTCCGCGGAGCCCGTGCCTCCCCCTTATTTTTAGACCAAACTGAGTCCCGAAGGGCGAAAAAATATTTCTTTTTGAGACCGCCCCCCCCTTATCGCAGGGTCTGGATGACCACCCCCCCCCAACTTATCTGAAGGTCTGCATCGGCCACTGAAACTATCGATTATTGAGTCCTCTGTAGATCAGAGGCCACTTTTTGCCCCTAAGAGGATAGGAGAGAGGAAGGAAAAGGGCGCAGAATGCGCGGAAGACGATAGGAAAGCAACAAGTAGGGCCGCCCTGGCAACAAGAGTGTTCCCGCTTCCCGCCATTTTTCCCTTCCCAACATCCTCTGCGCGCTTAAGGTGGAAAGAGCTGTAACCGAACCCTACCCTACATGTGTTCATGCTACCGGCAATTGAAAAATAATTGTAAGCAAGCAAATTCAAGAAGCGTAGCTGAAGAGGTTATGAATATTAAAACTTGCTTTTAATATCTCTTCATGCTTTTGCTTCGATTGAAGCGTTTCCATTTTCATTATTAAATAGATGGTAGGAGCGATCAATCACATGACCGATAAGATCACGAAGGAGCAAAACTTCATAAAAACTTCAATTTTTCATCCCCTTGAAATGACGCCACGATTCGTTTCTTAACAGGGCGGGTGGGGACTAAGCTAAATTCTAAATTCGAAGCTAATTCTCCTATTTCGCGATCCTAGGGCGCTTCTTTATTCCATGACAGAGTCTGCACGTTGGATAACTGACTCACCTCTGGATTCAAAGTTTCGTAAATTTGTTCATAGGGTTTGCAATCCCATTATTCAAAATATACGTTTTGGTTTGTCTCCCCCACCATGGCTTAAAAACCGCTTTAGAGTTGTTCGCTATGAAGATCTCGCGTTGAATACTGTCAATGCAGCATAAGAACTGTTTAGATTCGCGGGATTTTTGATTGGTCGGAGAGTGTCGAACAATGGATAGCAAAACATTCAAGACAGAGCGGTAAAACATCTGCGAGGGATCCATACTCCCTTTACAGAAATGCGTCATTTGTCATTAACAAGTGGAAAAATGCTTCCGAGGTTTTCATAAGGACTGTAGAAGATACATGCGGGGATCTCATGGACATGCTTGTGTACAAAAAGTGGGCAAAACATAATAAATCTGATATAATTACAGTAAATAAGGAGATCAGATATCCATGACAAGACTTAAAGGAAAGCCTCGTGAGAAACACACTTGGTACGGTGCACAAGTTTTGTGTACTATAAACTCAGTGGCGGATCAAGGGGAGGGGTCCGCGGAGCCCGTGCCTCCCCCTTATTTTTAGACCAAACTGAGGCGCGAGGGGGCGAAAAAAAATATTTTTTTGAGCCCGCCCCCTCCCCCCTTATCGCACGGTCTAGATGACCACCCCTCCAACTTATCTGAAGGTCTACATCCGCCACTGAAACCATCGATTATAAAGTTCTCTGTAGAAGCCACTTTTTGCCGCTAGGAGGATGGGAGAGAGGAAGAAAAAGGGCGCAGAATGAGCGGAAGGCGATAGGAATGTAACAAGTAGGGCCGCCCTGGCAACAAGAGTGTTAACGCTTCCCGCCATTTCTCTCTTCCCAACATCCTCTGCGCGTTTAAGGTGGAAAGAGCTGTAACCGAACCCTACCCTACATGTGTTCATGCGACCGGCAATTGATAAATAATTGTATGCAAGCAAATTCAAGAAGCGTAGCTGAAGGGGTTACGAATATAAAAACTTGCTTTTAATATCTCTTCATGTTTTTGCTTCGATTGAAGCGTTTCCATTTTCATTATTAAATAGATGGTAGGAGCGATCAATCACATGACCGATAAGATCACGAAGGAGCAAAACTTCATAAAAACTTCAATTTTTCATCCCCTTGAAATGACGCCACGATTCGTTTCTTAACAGGGCGGGTGGGGACTTCAACTAATTTTCCTGGCGAAATCTAGTTTAACCTGAGAAAAATAGTGAGCTCTGTGCTGATCTATGCATTATTGACATTATTGTGGAGATAACAAAGCTGAAACAGTGACAAACCTGCATCCGTTATTAACCCATTTCAGGGGCTACCTCTGAGATAGCAGGCTGAAATCTTTGAAAATTTTACGGGCTCGGCGACAAAAAACGCCCTTCATTTGTCAGAACTGACCGGCCAGACCATTCCCGTTGTAATAAGAATTTCACTTTTAATAAAAAATATCCAGCCACATTAGTCAAATCTTAAATAGTATGCACGAAGGAGATGTCTTTTCAGCAAAAACTCTTGGGAAAAGCTTATTGCTTTGTCAAAATGACTGCTCCGGACATGGTCCTGCCGGCCAGTTCTGACTTTTTGAGCCTGAAGATATGAGTCCCAGTGCCCTGCAGGGAACCATCAGCCGTGCAGATTTCAGTGTGTTTCCCTGGGAACGGGATTGACAATAATCTTCACTTCTCAGCTAGTACTTTAAAAAGCCACGGTATTACGTTGGCCGTAATTCGCTAGGTTTAGGGCTCACCCTTGGTTTTTCTCAGTAAGGATACTTGTTCACTTTTGACAACATTGTCAAACAACCTCGTTTCCAGGAATTTTGCTTCGCTGTTGAGAGTTGTAGCAAAAGGGTTGGTCCTTCATAGCGAGAATAGCTACACAGTCTTGTGCGTGTATTTTTTCAACGAACGACCTTTTATCATGCTTATATCGCCAGAAACACAGAATAAAGGTTGATAACGAAACTTCTCGAAATTTTCGATATTCTAAGGGCGTAGTTAACAAGTTTCCACAGCTACGCACAGTTTTCCAGTACTGCTCAGTATCCCGTCTACCAAATGCAACTATCGTTTTCTTCGAGTGTGATTTGATCAATTTTCCTTTTCTAGCAGTAGGTAAGATATAAATCATCTTTCTGGGTTCTCTCTGTCGTTAAACAACGTTCCACATGCAACGAACCGACCTGTTCGTGCGTATGATGAAATACCAGGGCTGTGAACCCCAACTATTTAGGGATGATAGATGACGTCATAACGCACGGCACATGACGTCATTTGTGCAAAAATACTCGTTCACTCCGATCGTCACGAATTTTGGATAACACAAAACGCGTAAAAAAGATGTTGTTGGTATTGTAACATTTGACCTGATTGGTTTTAATACTTCCCACCAAGAGACCAATTGCATTATTATATTACATTATGGCATACCGGAGTTTGTGAGGAAACGATCGATGTTAACAATTAAATAGCCCAAACAACGCAAAATAGTTGACACTTTATTGTCGGAAACTCGAGTCTACTGAAGAAATGGCAATTTTCGGCAATTATCCTGGAGATTTCATACTCTAATCTGGAGACCGGGAAATACGGTCAAAAATCTGGAGTCTCCCGGATTATCCGGGAGAGTTGAGAACACTGAAATACTAGGGGGAAAACACTACATCTCGTTCTGAAATAAAGTACAAAGGCGATTGGTCTTTTTTTTTTCAGCTATCCCCTCATTTCACTTTCCCTCACTAAATGCTTTTCTTTCCTTTCATTTTTCTGTTTTGTCCTTTTTAGTCTTTGATATTTATTCAGGTATGCACGTGCGTATTCGTTATTTGTACTCCCGTTTTTATTTCATTTTTTGTCTCATTTCCTCAGTCTTCTTGCCGTTTGGGATCAGTTTTATACTAGCAGTTAATATTTAGCATTTGGGATTTTGATTGATCCTTTTGTGCATTCAGAGGTTTGGAGGAAAGAACCTCTGCTACCTAACCAGGCTATTATACACTATACCTTTTTTGTATAGACCAAAGGAGATTCTTTGACTTTCTGAAACGAAAAAGAAGCAAAACTGCTCGAGATTGCAGTGTCACCACCGGGGACCCGAGGGATGGTCGCGTCTTTTTGGCGCGAAGGAGCCATTAACTCAGATAATGAGTTTCTTTCAATCAACATGATTGGCCAACGTGGTGGCTGAACTTCATTTGGCCAATCAAAGCCCTTGTTAGATTCTCGAGTGGGGTTACGAGTGGGAGAGATCAAAGTTGGTTGTGTTGTGTGGCGCTGTGAAGAGCGAGCGAGAGGAATCGGAAGAAGGAGTTCGCCATACTTGACTTGGTTTCCCAGAACTGCTTCAGAACAGCACCCTTTCAAATCGAAGCCCCTTTTCACCACTTTTTGCTCTGTTTGAATATCGCATGTCCAGGTGAGCGACTACTTCAAACGAAAACCTTGGCAGTGATCTGTGAGGATCTTGCTTTGCAAATACATTTCTCGTCGCCACGTGTGTCGGATGTAAAGGAAATTCTGGATTATTTCTTTCATAATAATTCCTGGAAGTGACTAGTGTAACTCCAAGTCAATCTGTTTTCTTGTTTACTAGTTCTGGTTTGGTTTGTTTGGTGTTTCTGGTGCTTCACGTCATAAAAAGCGTTTTTAAAGACACCGATAGTTAGCCATTATCAGCGCCCTCTTTTTAACTGGTGTTGGTTGAATCGCTCCTTCCTGCCAGTCAACTTTTCGTGTGAAGAGCAAATTTTGTGAGGAGGAAACCTCGCAGCAAAGGAGTTCTGGTGACGTTTTCTCGAAACTTGTCTACTGGATTGGTCTTTGAGCCGTATGAGTTCAGCTAAAACCAAGAATTCCGCTGAAAGTATAGTCAGTACAACACCAGACGACGTGGTAGGTATTCTTTAAATTTTGTAGACATTTCGAAAGTGATGTTTTTAAAATCATATTTTTAGCGCAGTTTTTCTGATAAACCCTTTTCTTGATCTTGGATGGGTGATCCGGGAAATTAATGGCATGACAAACGGCTCTATTTAATAATATTTTGAGCGATCTCTTATCCAATATGGCTAGCAAGGCAAATCTTTATAAAGCATATAATACCTGCATATGCTTGTCCTCCACAGTTCATGTTAAAATATTACTCACAGTCATAGAATTAAGACGTTAGAATCCTCTATTTAAGATTCTTCGGCGCAGCCTTATCAGTTAAGCTCTTTTATACTGGCCATAATGCCTTGGACAAGCCATTTTGTACTTTGTTTTCTCCGAAGTGTACTGTTGCTTCAAACGTTACCTACAATATTTCGTCACACGAAAATTTCTCTCGGTTTTCGTTTCCTTGCAACCGTGGTTTGGGCTTAGAAAGGAAAGCCATTCAGTCCTGAACTTCCGGAAAAAAACTTGGGAGAAACCCTTTATATTTTTAGTTGTATAATATACCCCGATTTCTTCGAAGTAAGTCGATCGAGAATAGCAAACGAGCTGTGATCTCTTCATAGGATCGTAAGACCAGAATATTATCGGTTTTGTCGCCCATAAATAAGGTTTTTTTCGTATCATCCTCCTTAAAGGCGCTTGTGTTATTTTTAGCCATGTTTAATTGAAGATTTGATATTTTCCTTCCTTTTTTAATGCCGGAACATTACTCAAGCTGCGAATCTGAACGTAAATCGTTGTTTTGTGTTACGTTTTTTTCGAGTTTGTTTGTTTGTTAGAGTCCATAGATTGTCCTCGCAACAAGAACACAACTCGCTCTTTATTTGTGATTAATCTTGAATTGAGTGCAATTTTATTCCATCAAGAGTAACGAGAAAATATTTCTGGTACGTTGAGTTTGTAGCAGTTAACTTAAAAGTCGTTAACCGTTTTGATACAAATATTTTCTGAATGTGAACCTCTACTCGACCTTTGGTGGGAGGGTTTCTTTTATTGCGGGCCCAAATTCGACCGTGTGAGCTGTTTATTTGCGCTACAGATGTTTTTGTAAGGATTAGTTTATTGGGGAGTACTTTGAAGGATTTTTTATTTAAAACACTCCTCATCTACTTAAAAATAGTCTGAAATGTCTGTTATAATAGTGATACATTTATTGTTGGGTAACAGGATTTCCTATACTTTGAGGTACAATTTTCTAATCTAGAAAACTCTGTTCTTCCTACAGCTGATATATTCATAAAATTTCTTTTCTAGGTTGGCCAGTCAAATGCCAAAGGGTCTCTGAACCCTAATGCTGCTGTCTTTGATTGTTTAAGGTGGGATGTTTAAATCAAGTTAGAAAACACATCTTTTGGTTTCTTGTTTTTGTCATGGCTTTAATGAGTCATTTGTGATAATTTGAAAACAAAAGATTATCACTTGTGATTGTGGTTTTTATAGCTGGTTAATTTTTTTTAGTCATGTCATACATGTATAAATATCTTAGTTTTGACATACTGTACCTTAATTATCCATCATATATAGAAGCCTTTGTTGTACAACTTTGTTACTAGGTTTTCTGCACAGAAATTTTGCTATGGATTAATTTGTTTATCTTAAGATAAATGTTATAAGGACATAAATTTACACCCTCAGTGAGGACATGCAACATAATTAACTCTCGTGTATAGATTGGTTTGAAGTTTCTCTGTTCCTCAAGCAAAAATTTAATAAGCAAGTATGAAAATTTCTGTCAGGTTAGCAGTAATGCAACCAAATTGCTACGCAAGGTTATGTCTCATCTATAATCACAAAATTATATTGATGTTGTGGTTCAATTTTATCCTTGGTTTAAATTTTATTTTCCTTTGTTTCAAACTCATTATCATGCATTACCATACCCAAAAACAAAGGGAAATAAAATTTAAACCAAGGATAAAATTGAACCACAACATAGTTGAGACTGTGATCAAATTCTTTTTTTGGAACAACAAGCCTGCAAATAACAGCTAGTCATCGGTCAATGACCCACAAATTTCAGATTTTGACGGGTAAAAGCTTGGCCTGGTCTGTCACTCTCTCTTCCTTCTTTCCTTTTTTTGACCTACCAGACTAGTGTCTTGACCCACAAAACCTGGTCCTTGTCTGGTCAAATGATCACCCTATATCCAAAAGTTATTTGCGGGCTTGGAACAATGTATTAAAAAATAACATAAATGCATGCATGTATATTTTAAATTGCACATGAGAATGAGGGCTTGAGTTAATGGCTGTCAACAGACAATGCCCAGTCAAAAGTAGAAGTTGTTCCATTGTACCACACTAGACTGTGGGACAGAAAGCATTAAGATGGAATCCACCCGAAAATTGAGTAACTTTAATTTCCAGTGGACAAAAACCTTGTACAAGAATAATTTAAAGAATATTGCATTCTTTTTTATATTTTTCAAGGGCTAAAGATGTAATTAGTCATCTGTAATAACACTAAAGAAAATTTCTTATGAGTGCCTGAGAAAATGAATGTCAAATTTCACAAAATTACATCTTACACATGAAATGTTCAAAATTTTACCTGTGTTTTCACAATTCTTGTGAAATTTGACATTCATTTTCTCGGGCTACCGTAAGAAATTTTCTTTGGTGTTACTACAGATGACTCATTGCATGTTTAGCCCTTAAAAAATTTTAAAGAGAATGCAATATGCTTTAAATTATTCTGGTACAAGCCTTTTGTCCACTCAAAATTAAAATTACTCGATTTCCTGGTGGATTGCGTCTTAATTATATTCCATGAATTTCTTCTTGAGCTATTGCTTTACGAAGTTTTAATGGCCAAAAATGAGTTGTGTCCAAGCAAAAGCAAGTTTGATTGGACAGCATGATTGCCACTTACCAGTTAGTTATTTCAATCCCCGTGTATTGGAATACTGCTTTTCTGTTTCTGTAGTTTTTATCACTGTCTATTTTAGAGTTAAGTCCCTTTAATTTGCTTTGCAGTTTAGGCATCGGTGTATTTACATATAATATAGAATTGATTTATGGTGAACTTCCTAAGTATCCCCCACTTTAGAAAACAGAAGGAAACTGGAGCCAGAATGTCTGGGATTATTACTGGGGATGTGCAGGTCAGCTTTTGGCCAATTTTTTTTTTCTATCCTTATTAACAGTCCCAGAAGTCTGCGCAAAAGTTCACTTGGCCCAGTCTCCCTCTTGTTTTTAAAGTGGCAAATTGTTAATGAATTATTTTTTCTGTTACAGTCACATGACACTTTCTGATGGTACAGATGGTTCAGTTGTTACCCTTGTCACTCCTCCAGTGACTCCCCCTGATCAATGGCCAGAGACTGCTCCTTCTAATGAGCTGCACAATATGCAGTACAGTCCTAATGCAGCAATGAATGGCTATGGTCCTTATAGTAACCCAGTTACCCCAGAAGTCATGCCTGTTCCTTCGGAATTGTCGCCTGATAAGCTTCCTATTGAAGAATTGAAAGTTCTTCTTAGACATCAGTTGGAGTTCTACTTTTCCAGGTAATTAATTTGCAGGAACATGTTAAAACACTCAAGGAACATTATTTTACTTCCACATTTACCTTCAACTGAGAACATCTTAGAGTCACATGGAAGGATGGGTTTAGATATTTCCTGTAGTTACATAATGTCCAGTGTAATTTCCTGTTCAGAAGTTAATTTTCCTTGTCATTTTTTAAATTTGCAGGGAGAATTTAGCAAGTGATACCTATTTAGGTAAGCTGCATGTAAGGTCCACAAAATTCATCGCTTTAATTTCCCTGACATCACTTGCCAGCAAAACTTGTAACAGCAAGCAAAATGACAGTGGTGTTTCAAAGAAAGTGAGCGGCTGAAAATTCCTGTTATATCAAAAACATGTATAGAAGTGGTGTCTCTGGATATTGTAATCTTTTAAGCATAACTTAAATAGCCATGCTGTCAATTCCCTTTTAGATTAACACCACAAAGGTAGTCAAATTGTCAAATAAAATGACTGAAGAGTAGCGAAGACAAATCTATGTCAGAGCTGTCATTAGGGGCCAAAACTTATAACACTTGTCACAGCTGAGCTTGCCTAGCATTAAGGGTGATCAAAGTAGAAAGATAGAGATGATAGTATAAACTTTTTGAGGGATGTTAAGATAAGCGACTTTATTTAACCAGGGTTACAGGTAACAGTAATTAAAATCACTGATAAACTTGTGGCCCTCTAAAAATAAATTAAAAAATACAATGAAATGAAGTAAAAACTAGCGATAGGTGCAGGTGAATCTTCATTTGCTTGGCTGCTTCAAAATTTAGCGAGAGTCCTTTGGGTGTCTGTTTCAGATCTGCTATAAAGAGGTGTCCATTATAAATGAGGGGACCTGACTGCATTGTTCTAAGAATTTTAAAAATAACTTTTCAAAGTGTTGTTCTTGATATTTTATTTTGGAGTCTCCCCTTTATTAAGAAGGTTATGTGAGTTCAAGCATTATACATTTTTTTATGTCAATTATTTTTTTTGTTTCTCTTTTGTAGTTTCTCAGATGGATGGTGACCAATATGTTCCCATATGGACCGTAGCAAATTTTAATCAGGCATGTTACTGCTTTTTGCTGAATGTCAACCATTTTCATCCTTACATTATTGCCCTGTGGTTTTGTACTGTACAGTTTTCTTAAAAAATTTCTTACCAACTTAATCCAAAATGACAGGAGGCACAATAGTAATACTATGTAGATGTCTTGCAGGTTAAAAAACTGACAAAGGATCTTGACCTTGTAAAGAATGTCATGAGAGGTGAGTCTTGATTGTCACTTTGTGATTTTCCTCATAAGAACACCTTCTTGAAGAATTTGCAGCTAGTTATGATCCCAGGGCTCAAAGTAATTTTCAGACAGTGGCAGGACACGATGACTGGCCAAAGAAATTTTCTCTCGGTCAAGCCTTGTTTCTGACCGGTCAAAGTATTGGAAAAAGGTTATCCTGGTGTTAACTTATTCTTTTCGATTGGTGAAAGTAATTTAATGTATTTTTACAAAGAGACAAAATCTAAGATTTACAGGTGAGGATTTGGCTGTTTGTGCAAGAATGAGAGTATGCATGACCAGTCAACATGTCCCACGAGTGAAGGTTTTGGCTAGTTAAGTCACCATCCAGGTTGGACATTGTCTGTTGACAGGCCGTTATTTTGAGCCCTGGTCCTTGCTGTTCCTTTGTCATTGTCCTTGACACTTATAACCAGTACCAGAAGTCTCTTAACTAAGAGAGATTAGAAAGTTAACATCAACCCGCAAGAAAGGTTATAAGCCAATTTTTAGCATATGTCATGCAAACCTAGTCCCTTTAGGGGGATTTTAACTTGGCTTCTTTATAATTGTATTGAGTTTTGTTTGGTACAGAATCTCCAAATTTACAAGTTGATGAGTCGGGAGAAAAAGTTCGACCAAATGTAAAAAGATGTATAGTTGTTCTGCGGGAGATTCCTGAGTCAACTCCAGTGGAGGTATGGTGTTCCAAAATCCTTTTGTTACTATTAAATGTTCTGGTAAAACCAGGTACCGGAAACTTCCGCTTATAAGCCTTGGACTATATGCATGTTTGAAAGGGGTTTTCGGAGGGTTTAATTGAGCTTTAAATTGTCATAATGGATCAAATTCAAGAAAAGATCGATAAGGAGTGGGGGGAAGCTTATAATGGGATGTATGGTATTCAGGGCTGTCATTAAAATTTCAAGTTGCCGGGCTAATGATACAAGTAGGCGGGGAATCCAACAGCTAGGGATTTTGATTTTGTTTAGTTCTGTTTTTCTTTGACAGTGGAACCCCGTTAATATGGTCACCAATGGGATAAAAAAAATTTGGCCGTATTAATGGGGTGGCTTCAATAATTTGCAAATGTTGACTAGGTGATGACCCTATAACCTTAATTATTTTATTTTAGGATGTTAAAGCCCTTTTTTCTGGTGAAAACTGCCCCAGCTGTACCAGAATTGATTTTGCACATAACAACTACTGGTATGTGCAGTTTGATTCAGAGGAGGATGCTCAAAAGGTAGGAAACTACTGAGGCAAGAAAGTTTGGTCTAAAAATTCCAGCATAGGAGCATTTAACCTAAATAATGTAACCAATGTTTGTAAGATTCACCCCACCAAGTCACAGGGAATAGGTAAAAAAAGGATGTGAGTATTGTCCATTTTGCCCTTACATTTCCAGCATGCTTCAATTTTGATTTATCACGCCGTAAGCATGCTGTTTAGCTGCCAAAATATATCTGTGACTTCATTTCGTGACCCACCATTGCAATGGATGGCGGATTCTCGATGCACAGAAAAGTGACGTGGGGAAATGAGAGAGAGATGTTTGCTGGCTATTCTTTCAGAGCCAAGTGAACAGATTATCACAGATTTAATTCTTTCAAGAATACTGCCTTACCCAATTAGAGGCAAAGGCTGCTAACCTCCTGGTACTCTAACCAGTGACATCAGCCTTGTCTAAAAGCAACTGGGGCATGTGATGTCAAACAATGCCTATTTGTGAGCATCACATCATGGATCTTGACAGGGGTGGAATGATGGTGATGATGATGAACTGACAATGTGGTGATCACTAAATTGTTTTTCAAACTTGTCTTACAGGCATACAGATTCCTCCGCGAAGAAGTGAAGACCTTTAGAGGCAAACCTATTATGGTACAGTTTATTTTACTTTTATGATATTAATGAAACAGAATGCTGAGGTAAAGTGATAAAATTTTTTTGTGCTAAGCAATTGTCTATAAATGCTTTCAATCCGTAGTGGGTCCAAGGATTGAACATACAGCTATGTACACTTAAGACATTTCGGCAAAAAACATAATCACAGGAAAATTGAAGCAGGGTAGCGTTGGAGAACAACAACCCACTCCCCTCCTTGTAGACACAAGTGTAAAACTGGAATGACTAGTGCAAGGCTGTAAAGGTTGGGCATCAGACCATCTCGACTAGCTTTTTGCGGCATAGGAAGGTGGCCCAAGACTTTGTCTGAAGCCACAAAACCTTGTGACTGATGTGATTGAAGTATAGCATTATATAGGTTGTTTGTAATATGTGATGAATAATGATCATTGTGTATTTTACACATTACTTATTGTTGATCAATCTCTTCTAGGCCCGAATAAAAGCGAAGCCAATCCACCAAAGCAATAATTATAACATGCCAAAAAATGGACTCAGACAAGTAAGTACAACTTTGTAAAATACAGTGAAACCTTTATTAGGCAGACATCAATGGGGCCTTCGCTGGAGGTGTCAGCTAAATACAGGTTTGTTTTATTTAAAGTATGGGTAGAAACATTTGAAACATACTTACCTATTTATCCGCTCAATACAGGGTGTGCACTTATTGTGAGGTCTTCTTACTACAAGTTTCACTGTATGTTGCCCCATAACCCTAATTTTACATGCTTTTTTTGTTTGAATCTTGTTTAAATTTCCATGCAGTGTTAAAACTAACAGGATTAAAGAGTAGAACAGCTTAAAGCTTTCAAGTTGTTTTCGTTGACTAGTTCATAAAACAAAATGTTCTTCTTCTACAGCAACAAGTAACTGAACCACCAGCCACTTACAACCAGCAGCATTTCCAGTTCCCTCCTCCTGCAGTTTTTAATGGTCAGCAGGTATGAGCAGTTGTTTTCTCTCCCTGATTAGGCTAATGCAACTGTTCAGCCAGAGGACTTGTATTAAACTGATGGATTTTTCCAGTTTATGCTTTTGAATCAAGAGGAGATGTCACTTAAGGCCTTTCCACACCCATGCCTTCATTATTTGAAGGGTTACTTGAGTTAAGCCTCGGTTGATTTCGGTCAGCTGCTAGATTTTCCATCTAATTTGCGTTAAGGTTCTTTTATCTACGTAGGTTGATTCTCAGTTTTCTTTGTCTCTGAGGGCTAAAAATTAAGAGACAAAGGGAATTGAGAATAAACCTAGGTTAAATCAGAATTAACCTGAAATCAAGTTTACCATGTTACATGTAGACCTGTGACTCAAAGTGAGAATTTGCTGTTAGAACAAGAGTCCCAAAGGGCCTAATAGATCATACACTCCCTCATGTTTGCGTGACGATAAAGTTTTGAAACAGTACACGTAAAACAACTCTGGATGAAGATTGACAAACTTTGATTTGAACTCTCCTTTTTTTTCTGTTGTGTTCAATTATTATCAAGAAAATGTTATCAGACAGCAATTCTACTACATCCTTTAAAGAGTCTGATGTTTTTTATTTTCCCTCTGTTAGGCACTTCCTTTCTACCCTCCAGCAGCCAACATGTTAGCTACATGGCCTCCTGCCCAACCACTTTTTCAGGACCCTAACATGGTAAGTTTTTTTTAACACTAAAATAATTTTGCATAAGAAGGAGCACAAACAAAAAGAAATTGCTTGTATGTAACTTATCAGCTTAGGCATAAGTCTTCAGTTAACGACTAGTCCAGCCACCTTTTAAGAATCCAGTCAGAAATGTTGCCACCCATTAGGTGGGCCAATATGACAAGGTGCACAATGTTTTGTTGCTAATAATTGCAAGTCATTTTTTGCTACCCCTGTTAATCAGTGGCAACCCAATTTTCATGCCTGGTCACCAACCTGGCTCCCAAGATAGGTGACTTTCTTCTTTGGGAAAACGTACACTAATGATAATCCATTATCTTTCACAAAACTAAATCCATTAATTCTTAAATACAATTTTTGGTGACCAGAATACTTGTTCTGGTGACAAAAAATGAAAACTTGGGGGCCAGCTGGCCCCAAGATTTTTTTCTAAAAGTCAAACATTGCTGTTAATGCTTTGAAGTTATTATGATTGAAATTGCCTTTCATTACCTAGGGCTGTCACTAAGATTTCAAGTTTCCGGTACTCTTTTTGTTCTACTTTTCCTAGCCTCAATTTCATCCGATTACTTCGAGTCGTTATTTTCCTTGAAAGTAGCAAGGGGGTGGGGTAGGGGGCATGTCCCTAGTAGCTGGGGGAAATTCCTGTCACCCGACCCCTTAGTTGACAGCCCTGTATGGCCTCTAACACAATTTTGAAGGTGTTACTTAGTGTAAGAAGCATTCTGATGTATTCCCTTCTTCATTGGTCTTTAGCCCTCAGCTTACCCTGATGGTTTTACTCATGGGCCACTGAATCTTGTTGGTAGGTCTTACTTTTTCATGTCAAATATAGTTCTTTTGCCATTCATGTACTTGATACTACTCCAGCAGAGCCTTGTAACTGCTAAGTGTTAATGTGACTTTTTGTTCACGTGCAAATCACATCTACACACCAGAGTCTTGTTAATGATGATAAGGACTAGGGGACCTGCATCAAAATTGATGGGGTGCCTGGAATTGGGCCCCATGTGACTTCTGGATTTCTGATAAAATGCTATATTTTCCTTCCAGTTTCCCTCTATTTATTTTCAAGTCAAAGGGAGAATTTGACACAAGATCAGGAATCTTAGGGCATTATTCTATGGTTTAACCCTTTAAACCCTAATATCAAAATTCAAATTCTCATTTGTTATCCTTATACGTTTTCAATAGAAGTAGTGGGGAGAATTTGTTGAAGTATCAATTAGATTCACCTTGTGTGACCATGTCCTCAATTCTCATGACCTCTGTGTTTTATAAAGCACTGATATTACAAGGAGAAATTTGATGCTGATCACTCTTAGGGCTTAAAGGGTTAATTTGTCCGTGTTGTGTTATTTCAAGCAAATCAGAGAGGTGGTGCCAATTGACACTGTGAACCCAAGGTGACATCTTCAGGGTTTTCATCAGGCATCGGAGATCGGAGAATTCTCCGACTCAATAACCTATGATTATTTTTTACTCAGATGTGGAGCCATTTTAAAACTTCTCCTGCAACATTGCACCTTTCTCTTGCTACTAGAATTCTTAATGAAAACCCTGCTTCTTGATGTGAACATAACTTTTCCCAAATGTATCTCTCCGTGGGTACAATACAACCAAAAATAGGGTCCCTCAAGAGTGTACAATTGTTGTAGTGGAAACAGGAGTGACAGTTTAAGCTTCAGCTTATTTTCTGCTATTATTTTGTGTTTCATGTTGCCAAATTGTTTGCCATTGCTAACATTACGTGTTTACTTATTTTCTTAATCTCACAGCCCCAGCCAATACTGGACGCCACAATTTCCAAGGAAATAATAGACCAAGGTATAAAAAAGGCTCACTAAGATGGCAAATAATCATCAATTCTATAAACACATTGTTAACTTAACTGTAACCTAGCCTTCGTTTCAAGCTGTAACTATTTTCCATGGCAAGTCGTAGAAAATATTTTGGCAAGTGTTTGTACAGTGTCTTGAATTTTTGAATAAGTCTTGAAACTGGAAAAGCAATTTTCCTGACTTGGAAAATTCCGGAAATAAGAGATAAAGTGTGGAATTTTTTTTCAGAGCCATGACAAGGTGAAATCCTATTAAATTTCTCCCGTAGCCAAGACGTTCAAACGCCGAATGAGAATTTAGAAATCTTTTAGGTCCTTATTGCACTGTGGTTCCTGTATGTTTGCAGAGCATCATAAAAAAGCTTGGTCACCTGCATTTTTCAAGGTCTCTGTTTATCACCTATTTGATATTTTGGAGTCCAGAAAAAGAAATTGTTGTTTGGGAAAAAAGTCTGGTAAAGCAAACTAAGACAAGCATGTAATAGCCCAGGGCAAGCTGAATTTTTTCGAGTTGGTTCAAAGCCTGAACTGGATGCCCTGGCTACTCTGCTTAATTTAATTTATTTTTTGTTTTCATTCTTATTATTTTGTCTATAGACCTCATACTTATCAAATTATTTAATTACAGGTTTCAAAATAATCACCAGAAACATCACCGTGATCAGCAAAATGACAGAATAGACAGAGACATGCAGCGAAACCGGACACAGAACTCTCCTGTAAATAACAGCAGTAATGGGGGTGCTGTTAACAACATTAATAATAGAGCCACTGGATTCTCCAGACAAAGGGACACAAGAGATGATGACTATGCAAGGTTTGAGTTTTGCATGAATTGTCACATTCATCATAATGTATTGTTGGGCCTTGTTGAACTAGGATGTTACTGTTTGTTTTGCCTTGAAATCAACATAGCTCCCCTTCCCAAACCTGAGCATATAGTTTTAGACAGTCAATTTTATTATTACACTTCAGTGTGCAGCGTGCAAAGAAAGTAGTGTCCGATAGCCCGGGGCTAGTGGATTTTGCTATCGGGCTAGTGAAATCTGTTTTTAACTTGCCCGACGGGCAAGTGATGTTCTTTGAGGAATTCGAATAACAGAAGAAGTGTGAAATCAATTCTGCTCGACGAAAAGCTTTTGGGACTAGTTGAAATGATGTCTGGGCTAGTAAATGCTAGCTTCAGCTTGCCCGAATGGCAAGCTGTAAAAATGATTTTCTTTGCACCCTGGTGTGCTTATTGAAAGCTCTGGTAATACAAATTTTAGTCTATGGCTCTTTGTCAGTGTTTTTTCACGTAAGCTCGACCCCCTTTTTTGCGAACCCCACAGGCAACTTGTAAAATCACTGTTTTCCTAGCTAATGGTTGTGTTTTTCAATTGTTTCAGGAGAAATGCAAGGAATAGAAGAAGAAGGGGTAGTAGTGAAGATGTCAGCAAGCATTTGGTATGTTCCTAGTTTTTTAAAATTGCTTTGTGCATGATATCAAACAACTTCATTTCCCACTAAATTCATCTGGAAGCTGAAAGAAAGAAGGGTTTTTAAGTAACCCAAAGAATTTTGGCTATATTCCAGGTGTTAGACTGTCTGAGTAAATAATTTAAAGTCAGTAGAACAATAATGATAATATTTTTGGGGGAGTTTTTGTTGGTGCTTCAAATAACCTTGACTGTGTCTTTTGTTCTGTAAACAAGCTGTTTCAGAGGACTGCTTCCTAGTTGAATAAGATTTTAGCTAGAAGGATTACTTAGTCGCTGTTAAAGAAGCGACTTACTCCAGTCATGTAGTTAGTTGTGTAGGATGCAAATTATTTATCTGGAAATTCTGAGTTTTCAGCTCTGCTAGAGCCTTGTTCATGGTGGATACAGACTGATCAGGTCACAAGTCTACTGTGAACAAGACCACTAGCAATGTGTCTTGTTTTGGATTATTTAATGTTGCAGCGCCAAAAAGAAGGCAAGGCGAGCCCCGTGCGACATAGTAAAGATGACAGTGATACAATAGACTTGGCTCCTTCACATTTTCCACCTCTTCCAACATCTCCACTTGCACTCTTTGTGAGTATATATTCCTCCTCTTATTATACCTTTGAGCCTAACATCAGTCAATGTCTATACTTTTACACACATCCATACATAGAGATTTTACAATCATAGCCACATAGAGATTCGAAAGTTCTTTTTGAGTGTTGAAAAATATTTCATGAGTGAGTACAGTGAACAAGTAACATGAAGAGAAATTTGTGAGCTAGCGAGATAAATATACTGCATGTAACTCACCACAAGTTTCCTGTGAAAGGGTCACTCAAACAGACAATTCTGTGAAATGTGAAGTGATTTGAAAAAGGCAAGTTTTTACCCAATCAAATTTTAAGGCTAATAATAATTGGTCTAAGGCAAAGTTCACAAAAAATGTAAATTTTAATCCTCAGAATTAAGTAGTACTCTGCTTATATTCGACAATTTTTTCATGCCACAACTTGGTTTGGTAGTGAAAAGGTTAATTACCGGCATTTCTGGGCATGAGTGTTCTTGCTGGGACCTAGTTCACTGATCTCTGCAGCTACATACAGGGAATACTAGCAGTTAATATTTTGTTATGTCTGTGCAGCTCAGCAAAGAAAGGCAGTTAACTGTTTTAAATTTATGACAATGTTTCAGGGAACATAATTAATCATTATGGTATACTGTTAAGTGAGTTGTTTCAAAAGCATCAAATCTCTATGTTTTGTTTTGTTCTCAGAAAACTCAGGGTTCCAAAGAATTTCCAGACGCTAAGGTAATCTAAATGAGAACTTTACTTGAATAGTGAAATGTGACACACTAGGGAAGGACATTAATTAATGACAGAATGAATTGGACATTTGCTTTGCAAAACAAGTACCAGATGTAACAGTTCTCACGAATGCTTTTGGTTTTCTATGTAATGGGTATAACAGAAAATGGACTTAATATCAGACCTAAAAAATGAGATCTATCTATTGACTAAGTTTGACTGGACCTCATGAAGAATTCAGCTTTTCATTTAGATTTTTGTAAGGAAGCTCGAAATTGATTTAACAGTAATCATTTCTCCAGATTATTGACTCAGTGAAATACTACTTGGTAAAATTTGTCAGGTGTATCTTACTCATCGGCTTCTGTTGTTGATAGTTTCCTCTTACACATTTTTTTTGCTGGTTTACAGTCAAACCAGGTCAAGCGTACCCCCCAAGAATCCATTAATGAATTTATTATTCAAAAGGTGAATCCGTTGCTAGTTGTAGATTTCAGATTGATCTCTGCATTCTTGTATGTGTAATGAGCCGTGAATTCACGCGCGAGGCAGTTATGAAATTTCTACCAGCTCCATTTTCCTGAAATTGATGTAAATGTCTTCTAAGAAGCTTAATCCATTCAAAGATGTCCAATCTGACCAAATACAGAGAAGTTCTTGTAAAATATTCACTGCTCATTACGCATGCAGAAATGCCGCTTTGAATTTGACACCAGTTACGGGAACGACTAACGGATTCATTTTTCAAATAATCAATTCACTGATAGAATCTTAGGGGGTACGCTTGACTTGGTTTGACTGTAAAAGTGGCCCTTTTTTAATTTCAGGAACCTTCATCACCACAGGACAAGAAAGTAAACCCAGTTCCAAACTCTTTTGAGTAAGTAATCAGAACTCTACTGTAGTCTTTTATCAGCTTTTATTGTTGTGTAGCTGTTGTGGTATGGCATATTGTGTTTAACCCTTTAACCCATTCGCCCCTGAACCGCCCGTAACCGCCCGTGTACGACAACCCCCTAATTCCCTGAACCGCCCGTAACCGCCCGTAAAAATGGCCGCTGGATTCAGTCCATTCCCCTCTCCACCCGGGTGTTTTTTTGTCTTTTGTTTTCACAGAGTGATTGATGGATAATAAACCAATCATTTGCCATCTTTTGCGCATTTTTTGACAGATGATGAGAAGCACCACAGGGTCGGGTTTTTCGAAGAGCACGAGCAAAAGAAATTCGCGAGAGTAATGGCCGCCTGTGTCGATTTCGAATCAAAGTTCGCATCACGTTCGAGAGAATAGAGAGATAATTCGACTCTTGATCACTTCAGGTTGTTGAACAGACCTTGTGAAAAACCTTCTGATTGAGATTTAAACGATCTTAAGACTGAAAAAGACAATCCTAGCCCTCAAATTGCCGAGCGCTTCGTAGGTAAACAAACCGCATGGACTATCGATGAAAACTTACCTCGTTCATTTCATTTACTTGCATCCAAGTACCGTGTTCCTCGCAGCAAATGTTTTAAATGTAACTGTTTCTTGAACTGCTGAAGGTGATGCTTTTGTAGAGTTAAAAGTTTGAACAAGGAAACGGATTATGTGCGACGATCGATTTGGATTGACAATCCCCATGAATAAAATTATAAAATTTACTTCACATCGCGCGGAAGCTCACGGAGAATAAACGGTAACCGTCTTTTTATTCAATTATTTACAGTTGCCAAATGATGCTTTTTGTGTGCTTATTTTCTTTTTTTATAACTATTAACACCTATCGGTTTGTGCATTGGTAGATAAAGCATTAATAAAGCAAGTTTGGCATTTAACTTATTTGTGCTTTACTTTGTTGATCGGACATGATCGGGGAGGCACTTCAGTTCAGGATATCAAATACGCTTCCCTGAAAGATTGCGGCTTTGTCACCTTCTCTGGTGAAAGTGATCATTTATTTTATTGTTGACATTCAAGAATCGAAAAATATATGAAAGAGTGGGAAGCTGAAGTCCAGCATTCCCTTTTTTTATTAAGCTTTCCCATGCTTGATGATGTGGAACTCTTCTGTTCAGATCGCTCTTCGTGAAGTGATCATCACCGAAGTTTCACTACATTTTTCTACGGTGCTTCTCGACTGGACTGATCTGAAAGAGAACTTAATGAAATAACTTTCAGTAAAATGACTTTACAGTGTTGTTGATGTTTTATCGACTGTGTTTATTCCTTTAACAGCGTTTTTGTTCCCCGTTTCACCATTGATTTATCAGTGCAATTATCGCGCGGCGAAGAAATTTTGTTGAAATTCATTGTTTTCGCCTCTTTCCACAGCTTTTTCTTTCTCAAATTGCTATTTTTTTTACATACCCTGGCTGCCCATTAACTCATCTAAAAGAAAAAGTTTGTTTGAAAGCCAGAGTTTATCTCTGGTTTTACTGCGCATATGGTTTATTTTAGGCGCTCGCGTACGCTGATTTTCAACCGAAAATTGCCAGGGAATTGGGGGGTTGTCGCACGTAAAAGTCCCAGGAGTGAATGGGTTAAACCCTAAGATCAAAATTTGAATTCTTATTTGTTACCCATATTCATTTCCTACAGAAGTAGTGGGAGAGGTTGATAAAATATCAAGCAAATTCACCTTGTGTAATCATGTCCATAATTCTCATAACCACTATGTTTAACAAAGCATTGATATTACAAGGAGAAATTTGATGCTGATCACTCATTGCTTAAAGGGTAAATACTGAGGGATGTTACCATTGTGAAGATCTGCTTATCTCTGTGACTTCCAAAAAAGCCCAGACATAAAAATTCAAGATTATTTTAGGAATTAGGGGTGGGGGTTACTTTTTACAATGGTTTGATTACCTTTGGAAGGGATTTTGTATTTGAAAACAGTGGGCTAAATTAGGTGATCGTGGTGCTTTGCCTTCAGATGAAACTCAATCCTTTTCGTGCAGGGCATATGGTTCATAACATTGACTGCATAATTTTTTATAGTCATAGAGTGAACACAGAAGTCAAACAGAAGGAACCACCTTCTCCTGTTAAAGTTGAAAACAAGAAAGTGCCAGAGACAAAGCCCATTCCCCAGTCTGCGGTGAGTAACTTGCCCTACAGTGCAAACTGTGGTCATCACCTTGTTCTAAAATAAATAAATGAATGAATGAATAAAATAAATAAATAAGGATTTAAAGGTAGCAAATCCACTGAATGGTTCTTTGTCTACCTTATTCGAGGCCCTGTGAGGGTAAAATTCTGGCAAGGACATGGCCTTGAAACAGTGACATAGGAAAGCAGAAGTGGCGACAAACGACACAAAGATGGGTTAAAACTGCGACGGCCACAGAGAAAAGTGCAAATACAATAGTAAAATACAAACATCAACATGGCTTCCTCCTTAACCCTTTAAGTCGCAATATCCACATACAAATTCTCCAAACTGATCTTGATATATTTCCTTAAAGAATGAGTTGAGAGAATTTGATAAAAGATCAAAGCATTTTCTCTTAGGTGATCATTTTATTAATTCTCATAACCTAATCTCTGGACAATGTATGGATATTGTTAGGAGAAAATTAATGTTGGTCACTATTGGGACTTAAAGGGTTAATACATGAAACGACAGGTTTTGACATTCAGACAAGAGACACACATAACCTCCCTAAGAGGGTCTCTGATTCCTGGTGGAACTGAAATTTGGAAATGTTGACTTTTGAGGAGAGGACAAAACCAGAGTACGGAGAGAAAAACCTCTGGGAGCAAAGGAGAGAACCAAAAACGAACTCAACCCTTATATTATGACATCTCTCAGATAATTTTACTTTTCTGGGAAACTGCCCACCTACCCCTCCCCTAAACCAACCTTAACACCTAGTTCTTACTTAGGGCAAAATGTTGACTTAGGGAAGGGGTAGGTGGGCAGTTTCACAGAAATATAAAATGATGCCATCTCTCAAAGCTTCTGAAACTGTCCCTAAATTTCTCTCCTTCCTTTGTTGGTTGTCTTAATATCATGCTTCCAATGTCTGCTTTATGCGTTAGAATTTTGAACTAGGTGTAGACACAATAAACACTTGAGTCTGAATATCAGAATCTGCAGTGATCCAAGTGTTGAGCTTACAACTCCTGTTTCACCAGTGATGAGAGGGAGCTTAAGCAAAGGCATTTTTGATCGATGGATTTCATCCAGAAATGGACGTTTTGCATTCTTGGATAGTGGATTTACATACATACGTACACACATACATACATACATACTTGTATTCTGGGTAGAACGTATTTCATAGAGCGCTCAATTCATTTAATTGAAGAGCATTGACTATTAATAATCACTGGAGTTCAGGCTTCAGAAGTAATCATTGATCGTTTATTACGACAGTGCTGTTTCGGTCAATCGTTGAAGTTGCCTGATGAGTGTGGTCCAACAATTTCGGACCATACGAAACAGCACTGTCGCAATAAACGATCAATGATTACTTCTGAAGCCTGAACTCCAGTGATTATTACAACATACATACATACATACATCCTTTATTATCTTCCTTAAACAAGGCTTGTCAAAGATAAGTAAATTTGCCCAAAATTTCAGGCAAATTGTCTCTTTGTAAGGGTAAAGGAGCTTAAGCGATGCAAATTTGGTAGTGTTGAGGCATATTAAAAGGGAAAAGGCTGCAATTCTGGTTGATTTGCGTTGCTCAGAAATGTCTTTGCTTAAACGTGCTATCACTAAGGTGAAAGCACATGTGAATGGTCCTTTCATTACTGTGGTTGTTCCTTTGTTCCTTACAGTCAGTAAACTTATGTAAACCCAGAGACTAACCAATCGAAGAGAGTAGGCTGGCACTTGCAAATATCACCATTTTCTGAAATTATATTTTGGTGGTTGCTTTATTGCAGGAAGATGTAGTGCAATCGACAACGGTGTTAAGTTATGCTCAAGTAACCCAGAAAACCCCTACAAAGCAAACTGCTGTTTCCTCAGCTAACTCAAATAACAACCAATCCAAGTCGCCCACCAAGTGAATGCCGTGTGAGTAACCAATATGAAAAGTGCTTGTTTGTTTAGTTGAAACTGCTATGTGTAGAATGGAGTCTGACAGAACTTTAAATGGATAATGTTATGTGTAAAGCAAGATTGGCAAATCATCTACAATGGCTCTGCAATACTTCAACAGCTGTGAATGATGCTGCAGCCCTTTTTGTAGATGCAAACGTTTTACATTTTTCAGTATTCGCAAATTAAACAGGAGCCAAGACTTGGCAGAACATGCACTTGAGTTTCATTCAACAGTCATGCAGAACACTGATTGTTGGTGACAATGTCTGCAAAAGACTCCATCACAAAAGAATACCTAAGAAAAGAAAATATAAAACTGGAAAAACATAATGAACAAGATGTCAGCGCAAAGAGAAAATGCAGAAAAGAGATAACCAGATGAAGTGTTAGGATACAAGTTTAAATACAAGGCAACCAACTTGTATATAAGTAATATTATGAAGATGACTTGCATTATTTCATGATGTAGATATTTTTTAAATATCTGGACCTGTATAATACTCGATCACGTTGCTAATTGTACTTACATTACTGACTGCTCAGTGGATACTGAGAAAACACCTGTGGATATTGCATGGTGTTCACAGGAAAGAGGTCTGAAGTTAAAGTTTACCACAAATTGCATCAACGGAAAGTTGTGGTGAATAATCTTGCCAAGATGCTGGTCTACCAAGCACAAGAACAGTAATTATCATGATCTTGGGCAAAGCAAGTCACAAACAGCCTATTTTGGCAATAGTTATTGGCTGAAATAATGCAGTTGTTGCAGAAATGTTATAAAAAAAGGATAACAAAAAGTATTTTATTGACCTCTAGCCAACATTTTCCATGGCTGGTGTATTACATGGCCAAGAACAAATTTCAAACCTCCCTTTTGATGGCCCAAATCACCTCCAAGAAAAAACGCTCAAAACTTAATGCCGCCAAAATTTATGACCAACAATATTTATTACCTCAAACCTCCTCACTTATAAGTCAGTATCAGAATACTTTAAAAAACTTAACATTGCACAGTGGCCCTGTACTAAGAGGCACCCTTTATTTTTAGGATCTAAAAATGATAAAAAAAAGAAAGAAAAGAAACTCCTAACATTGCCCCATATAATTATCAGTACGTTATTTTCAGGGTCTCATTCTCTTCAACCAAGTGACTGTCTGTCGCATGTTAACTGGTGATAGGTCCAGACCCCCATTTCAGTTTTACTTTTTCTTTTGTTCAAAAACATTATATTGAATAATTTTTTCTGATTTTTATAAAGCATCCAATCATCAAATTGTAGACAACAAAAAAGAAACTGAATTGGCTTTTTACGCTTTCATATCTGAATTCAAATTTCGCACAAAACCTGAGTTTTGCACAACCCAGCCCTGAACCTTATACCAATTTTTAGACTAAACTATTGAACATCACTGCGAACTGTAGCTGTTAAACTTGTTCATTTTTTTATGTGTTTCATCTAACAAATATAGACTTCTTCAGGAAGTTTTATGATTAAAAAAAATAAACACGTATATTGAAGCCATATCTGATAGCATTAAAAGTTTGGCTGGATCTGCGAAATAGAACAGGTGCAGGTGCAAATATTTACTGTATTTTAATGGTCATCAGATATAGCTTAAATACAGGCATTCAGTGTTTGGTTTTAAAACTCCCTGAAGAAGTCTATGGGTACTTACCATTTACCTGTAAAATACAAAAATTCTGGTTGGAAAATCAAATGTTTCCGGCCATTCTGTTTGGGCAGTTTCGGAAAACGTGGGCTGTGATTTGAAGGTATGCAATTTTTCTACTCTTTTTAGTATGTTCAGCTGATTTGGACGTACATTGCAGGTTGTTCTCCCACCATGTCAAATTTTAAAGTTTTGTGTTTATGAACAAGATTTCCACCCAGCTGGTTTGTGTTAGTGGTAAGCACCCTATGTTAGCTCTAGGAAGTACAGTCAAACCTGGATGTGCGACCACCTCCCATAAGGGACCACCAATCCAGACAAAGACAAAGCATTACAGTCGGAACCTCTTGTAAACGACCACCTCCTGTAAGCGACCATGACTGCCTTTTGGGCCTGAAAGTTTAATGATTTTCCGTTGTTCTTAACCTCTTGTAAGCGACCACTTCTCTTCTTTATGTTCGCTGTGTGCACCATGCTACTTGGAATATACGACATGTACTTTATTAACAACCTGAACTTGCACATGGCGTAACTTAGAAATTGCACGCAATAAATTATCTTCCATAAAGTAGATGTGCCCAGACCTCTTTTCAGAAAAGACCCCCTGTGGTTCGACTTTTGTAAGCGACCAGTAAGTCTTTGCATTAATTTATTGGGTGGTTGCTTACAGGAGGTTCGACTGTACATCAGAAGATAAAAAGTTTTAAACCTGCTGTTCGCCCAGTGCTGCCCACTAGTTTTAGTTCTATAAAATTGTTTAACAGGGTTTCTACTCAGGGATATTTTGCCTTGGCCTGTTGGCTGTTAACCTGGCATCACCAAATGTGATCTAAAAGCATAGAATTTTGAAATTGAAATAGCCGTTGAATGGCAGTTGATTTGTGATTCACCATTCACAAATTCGGTTTTGCTACTGCAAACTTGGTGCACTAATTTGCAAAGGTATGAAAAAAAGTCAGAGTTGCAGTCATAAAGTACAACCAGTCATTATGAATTTGCTGTTTTAGGACCCAGGGTACACTACTTGAACATGTGTACAGTTTATAGAGTGGAGATCCTTACACCATTATGTGGTGCCGAATGTTATTGATATTCATCTTCATATTGAAGCAGCTTAGTTTCTTGAAATTGAAGTTTAGAATCTTATTTTTGTAGTATGAATCCCACTTTCTGATTCTCTATTTCGTAGGCTAAAAAGGAACTTTTTGTTGGCCAGTGATCATGCTATAACAAACCATTTGTAACTCCAAAAAAGGCCTGCTGCTTCGCCACTCCATCTATATTGGCCAGTGATTGAACAACATAAATTTCATGGATGGTTTTTATATAACCTATTAATACTACCCAATAATTGGAAAACCTATCTGGTAAGAATAGTGCTCTGAACAACATAAATTTCATGGATGGTTTTTATATAACCTATTAATACTACCCAATAATTGGAAAACCTATCTGGTAAGAATAGTGCTCTGATACCCTGTTCCTACTGGCCAATAACCGGGCAACATTAATAGTCATCGTAAACAGTACATTCCAAATGGCATGTTGTCTGTCAAGGCATCAGAAACTACGAATTCTATCATTTTTTGAAGCTTGTTTTGACAGATGTTGATTCATAAATTACACACAAACCACCCTGCATTCTTACATACGTAACCAGTATGTTAATTATTTGTTGGTTGGCTATTAGTTTTAGCTAGTTGCATTTATGCATTGTTTTCATTTTGCAAAAAGGTGAATCCAAATTAAGTAACTTATATTAATAATAATTTAGCCTATTTGTTAATTGAAGTTTACTGTTGGTGGTATAACGTTAGGAATTATTGTATTGAATGATGCAGATGTAACATATACTAGCTTAGATATTTTATTCCACTTTTGTTGCAAGTCCTGTCCTGAGTGTTTTCCCTGTTACATTCAATTATTATTATGAGAGCAGTCTCGGCTAAAACTGGAAGACAATTATAATTTTGATTTTTTTTTTCTTTAATTCACTTTTTAATGAGATTTCTATCACTAGTCACTATTCTGCTTCAGTAGTTGTGAGTTATCTCTTTGAAGCATAAAACAGAGATTCCTATAGTGAGAACATTGATGACATACACAAGTCAGTTGAGCTTGGAGTGTCTGTGCTAGGAACTGAAATATGCATGTCAGTTCCTTTTTTTGACTGGGTGTGCTGTGCACATTGCTAATCTCTATGAGGTTTGCTGGCGACGAGTGTTCGTTTGTTTTGTTTGGTTTTGTTTCAGCATTCGGCGAGTTGCCTCAGTTCATAGGGTCTTCTTTCCTTAAAATTTACCTCGCCCCACTAAGAAGTTTCTTAAGGACCGTTAGGAGAGCTGGGTCTCTTTGTCTTAGTTAATTCCTGATTCTTTTCGTCAACTGCGAGCTCCAAATTTCAAACTGGCAGAACAAGATCTTTTGTGGACAAAATCGCGACCGCGTATCGCTTAAAGAAGATCCCCAAACGTCATAAATGAACCTTTCCATAGAAATTGAGATAAAAGCGTCCACTTGGGTCACTACTGTGCGAGGTATTCTACCAGACAATGTCATTCTGATAGTCAAACTTAGCCTGCATTTAATTTTTACCGTGCGAGAAAAAGTTTCCGGGAAACGTTCCTCGTCTAACTGTTACTATGTAGGCCAGGTTAAACACAATGTCAGCCCGACCTCACCAATGCCCTCTCTAGTCATCACTGGTTTCTTTCTGTAGTTATCTTATGTAAGGGTTACTGGAAACTACTTAAACTTATTTAATCAGAATAAAGTGTAACTTTAGAATTTACTGATTAAGGGACAGATTTATTATTGAAATTGGGCAAGTAATCACGCTATTTTTGACAAATGTTATCTATATGATTGTATAAAAAGATAGTTCTGCTATGGCAGTACTGAGGCCAGAGTTGCACGGCTTTGAACTTTAGGTGGGTGCAACTTGACGTTAGGTTCGAGTTTAAAAGGTCAAAAGCCTACCTGCCGATAAAACCGTGCCTTAGTCTTTTGTTATAGTTTGACAACAAAACTCATGTTTTAAATAGGTCCTCAGCCGTTGCAAACATTATTGGCCGGTGTGCGTAGCTTGGTCCAAGCGTGACCATGTTTGGTAGGGGCTGTATTGGTTTTGAACGCGGCCGTGGTAAAGGCACCATTTTGTAAAATATCGTGATATGGCCCCTTTAAATTGTAAATTCCTGATACTTTACTACAGCTCTAAAAGCACCAGAGAGGTGTGAAAATTAATTTATAGCTCTGTGCGTTAAAAACTTTACTATCTGGAGGACAAAACTTC